ACCCTGGAGGCCCCGAGCCCTGGTGGCCCTGGTGGCCTTGGTGGCCCTGGGCCCTGCCAGGCACAGAGTGCTCTCCTGAGTGGGAAATCCTGTCACAGGCACCTCTGAGCTCCCAGGGGACACTCTCTCCCTGCAGGGAGGGATGGCAGGGCTGTCCCATGGCCTGGGACACTGCCAGGGATGGGGCAGCCCCAGGGCAGCCTGGCCAGGGCCCAGCACCCTCTGAGCAAGGAAATTCCCCAAACAGCCAAACTCTGGCAGTGGGAGCCATTCCCTGTGTCCTGTCCCTTGTCCCCAGTCCCTCTCCAGCTGTCCTGGAGCCTTTTAGGCTCTGGAATTAGCTCTGAGCTCTCCCTGGATCCTTCTCCTCACCAGGTGAGCACCCCCAGCCTGTTTATTAACAATTATTTGGTATACATTATTTAGTTCAGAGTATTGATCTCTGCTAACACTGTTTATGTTATTGCAGAGACTCCCAGTGGGCAGCAGGCTCACCTGAGCAGGTGAACACCCCTGCCCTGTGCCCCAGCTCACTGCTGCCCTTAGCCATGGCATGGGAGCAGTTCCATGAGCCACAGAAAGTGCCTAAACCAGGGCAGAGCTCTCTGTGAGCAGTCCCAGGGAGAGGCAGGCAGAGGATGAGGATGCCTCTCCCATCCTCCCCGGCCTGATGAGGATAAACCACCCAGCCAGGCAGGGCAAAACCTGCAGGAAACACAAATGATGGGAGGCACCCTGCAGCCTCCATCAGCCCTGAGACAGCACAAAGGCTTGGCTCGCTCTCCTCTGCAATTTTTGGTGATAAAATTACTTGGCTCTGAGCACTCCAAAGTGCCCTTTCAGTGCCACACAGGACACTGTCGTGTTTTCCTTTGCTGTGCTTCCCATTCATTTGCACAAATCACCTTTTCTTCTTCTCCTAAATTACATTAAAATAAACAATGGAAATGTACAAAAGAACCTATATTCTCTTACTGAATAATTAGATGCTATCTTTGAGTACATGGCCAAAGTCTGACATCCAATAAATCCAAGACAAAGGCTCAATTAGCCCAGATAATGCCCATAAAGGCAGCAGTGCTTTACAGAGATATGTAAATGTCAGCACCTTCATTTTACAGGAGAAAATGAAGTGCTGAGAGCAGCCATGGTCAGATCACATCACATCCAGGAATCCAGACCCCTTTATTCCCAGACTAATTAGCATCTCTTATAACAGTGTTCCTTTACATACCAACAATCATCTCTGCTGTAACATACATCAGAAATATCATACCCAATCCCTTGGAAAAGCTGTGATTTTTCTATAGAACTGAATGTACATTCACTCTGCTTATTTGCAAGTTCAGTAAAAAGCTGCTCTCCTAAATAAATTAATCACAGAATCATTAAGGTTGGCAAAGTCCTCCAAGATAATCCATTGCCAAACTTTGACTGAACACCATCTTGTCAACCAGACCTCTGCACTATGTCCAACCATTAAAATATACCTCTAAAGATGTAAAGTAATAGGAAAAAAAAGACCTGAAAAGGTTTTTAAACATTAAGAGAACTTTTTCTTGGGAAGAAAAACAATCAAGTTTTGGACAACAACCAAAAGAAATTTCAGTTATTATCCTTGGCACTCAGAAGTGAAAAAAAAGTCCAAGATTTTATAAGTCTTTATCTTCTTCCAGCAGACAGAGTTAACTGAGCTGCTCCACAGAAAAAAACAAACTTGGGAAGAAAAGAAAGTGGTTAGTCATGAGGGATTATAATGGCCCATAGTAAACAGCCTGGGCCATCAAACAAACAGAGCAAATTCCCCATCCTGCAAGGAGCTGGGGAATTCTCCCAGAGCAAGCGCAAGAAGCTGGGGATGCTGGTGAGGGGCACCAGCTGCCATCAGGGAATGCTGAATGAACCTCTGGGGGCAGCCAGGGTGAGCACAGCCCGTGGATTCCAAGGCACAGCACACCCAGCAAGCTGCAAATGCACACCCCACTCACCAGTGGGCCTGGAGAGACTGGCAAAAATAACTTCAGAAAAATAAACCCTCCTTCGTGGAGCTCTCTGAGCTCACAGCTCTGATTCCCCACTAACAAACTGTCAGTGCCTTCTGCTGTGGGCTGCAAAAAGAAAATGCTCAGAGCTGCAGGATCCTGCCAGGATCCCAGCCTGGCACACTCAGGAAAAGCCTCTCAGGGCCTTGGACCTGTGTCTGGGGTTTGGGGAATGTGCAATTAAAATCAGCTGCTCCTAAAGTGGCAGAAGGGTGGAGGCTGACAATAATAAACTCATTTGGAAGCAGTGTCTTCTCCCCAGCTCTACCAGATACCAAATTAGAAACAGTTCTGGCAGCATTTTGTCTGCTGCTTGTGAGGCAAAAGGGAAGAGACTTGCTAAAATTCAGCTGACAGGGTTTTGCATTTATCCCAGGTTCAACCAGGGCAGCTCTGTGGAGTGGGGAATATCCCTGCACTGGCCCCAGCTGACAAGAAACAAAAGGCCCAAGCAAGCATGATGCTGAAGGCTCCTCATCCACAAAAACTCCATTTCTCCACCAAAACACCTCCACTGGACTGGCAAGACTCTCAGACAAACCATCAGTGCTGACCTTTCCTGGAGCAGAACTCTCAGCACAGTGAGCAAGGTGGGGATGAAACCACATCTGCACAACCATGGAGTCACAGCATCATGGAATATCCTGAGCTGGGATCATCCACCCCAGCTCCTGGCCCTGCACAGGACACCCCAGCCATGCCACCCTGTGCATCCCTGAGAGCTTTGGCCAAATAATTCTGCAATTCTGGCAGGCTGGAGCCCCCCATCCCAGCCAGCTGCCATTGTGGAGATCCTGCAACCCAACCACACAACATTTCTGCAGGAATTTCCTACTCACTCCCACACTACATGCCCTACTTTAGGCTTTTAAACCAGTGTGGCTGCACAGAAGTGAACTTTTCCAGCTTCACACAGCAATGCTTTCCCCCTGCATAATGCTGATTATCAAACCAGGCCAGGCAGGCACAGCAGATCCTCACAGATGCCTCGGGGAGAGAAATTAACCCAAAATTCAGACAAGCAAACCTCTGCTGCATTATGCAGCCTCAGGATACAGACTCATGACTTAACTAAATAGACTTTTCCTACAGACTATCTCCTACAAACCATCACCCCGTGTTAATCAGGCTTCTGCAGAGCTTCTCAATTTAATGTGACAAACTGGGAGCTTATCACAGCAGCCATCACACAATGCAGCCTGATAGCAAAAGCTCAGAGCCTGCTTCCAGCCAGCATGACCTTTTCCAGCATTTTTATAGATCCTTGCATATATTTACTAGCAAACACCAGGGCAACAGGGTAATGAGAGCTACTGATAATACCATGACCAACAAGTCTGATCCTGTATCAAAAATTACATGTGAAGATCAACAGGACTGAAGCTTTGAGCATGAATACTTTGTTGGTGGCAGAATGCAAAAACCTCAGGAATAGGAGAAAAAAGTAGAAAAAAAATAATTCAGAGTGAAAGGAGGTGACACAAGGAAAAACTGATGACAAACACGGCTGGGTGAGGAGCAGCTGGAGAGGCTCACAGAAGACATCTCACTTGATGAGAGCACAAAGGCAATTCAGCCATCTCCTTCCAACATGAAAGCAAGGTGGGCCAAGGGAGGCCCAGCAGTCCCTGGGATAGATATCCAGTGGGAGTGCACTCCTCAGCTGCCCAGGGCTGCAGGGAAGTGGAGTCAGTGACCCTGAGTGCAGCTAATAGCAGGGGACCCTCCCTGCCCTAATGCTGGATTACGCAAAAGACCATCCAGAACTGCCAAGTCAGGGCTTTGCATTATCACTGCACAGCCCAGCAGAGGCACTGAGATAAGGCATGAGCCTGGCCAGCGGCTCTCATTAACCCCTCTCTCATTAACCCCTCTCATTAACCTGCTCAGGCTGCTGACAGAGCAGCCTCTGCTCTCCCTGAGCTCCTGGGACAGGACAGAATTCCAGAATTCCCTCCTCCATCCCAGTGCCCTGGCACAGCCAGACCCCAGAGATGAACTCTGTGCCTGCAGTGCAGTCACTGCTCTGAGCCAGAGCTCAGGAGGTCCCTCCTGAGGTGACACTCAGCTCTGGGGACACCTCTGTGCCACACAGGAGGAAGATTTAACAGGTTACACTCAGGTTACACAGAGGGAATTCCCATGGACTCATCCCCACAACCCCAAGAACCAAGGAAACACTACAGGACCCCACTCCAGAGAGAAGAACTCTTTAAACTCACAACACTTGCACAGATCATCAAACTCAGGGCGCATTTCCAGCCCTGCCTGACCCAGCCACCCCTCTCTGAAGGAAACAAAATGCTCTAATATTTATTTTCCAAGCTGACTGCAGCAAAAGGAACTGCTGTGACCTGAAGTGAAACTCCAAATCAAACATTTCCAGCTTGAAAAAGTTTGTTGCACTCTTGAAATGTTTACCACAATAAATCTGGAAGGTTACTGGTAGGCCAAGCAAGAAAGTCTGACTTCAGAAAGGGTGATTGTGACAATGCAGCTCTTCAAAGTGGGCTGTAAACTTGTAAGTAAATACAAGGAATAGCCACACTCAGCTTGCACAATAATATTTAAAATACTTCAGAAGAGCAGATGAGTTGCTGTGGACCTGCTCTCCAGGGTGACCAGGACAGGAAAACAGCAACCTGAAGTGCAGGAGCTTGCAAAGAGTTCTCCATGCAGAGAGAATGGAATTTAATTCCCAATGCAGGCTGTTTGGGGATAAAACAATTAATATCTGGTCAAGAAAGCCCCTTGTCCTACAGAGATTCTGCAGAAACACAGATTCCCAGCCACACCAACTGATCTGCAACACAGAAATCCCCAAAATCAGTGGGTTTCGCACGGAATTTTGTCCTTGGTGTTATCAGAGCCTCTCCCATCGACAGCCTGTCAGCAGAGCAGTTCCTCCCAGGGGTGCAGTGAGTGTGGGGAGCAGCCTGAGCTGCAGGCATGACTTACAGTGGTGTGGTGAGAGACACTGCCTCCGATGTTGAGGTTCTTGAGGAGCTGCGGGGAGCCTCCATACTGGCCCGAGATCTGCTTCCTGACCTCGGCTGCCACGGTCCTGCAACGACACAGGGACAGGGTTACCCCTGCAGGGACACGGCAGGGCATGGGCACACACCCCTGTGTGCTGGAACCAGACACAGGGACACGGTTACCTCTGCCAGGGACATGGGCATGGACACACATCCCTGTGTGCCCTCTGCAGGGACATGGCATGGGGCACAGCCACCTCTGTGTGCCAGGGACATGGCATGGGGCACAGCCACCCCTGTGTGCTGGAAGGGAAGCAGACACGGGGACATGGTTACCCCTGCAGGGACATGGCATGGGCATGGGGCAGAACCACCGCTGTGTGCTGGAATGGAGCCAGACACAGGGACACAGTTACCCCTGCAGAGACATGGCATGGGCACAGCCACCCCCTGTGTGCCCTCTCCAGGGACATGGGATGGAGCACAGCCACCCCTGTGTGCTGGAAGGGAAGCAGACACAGGGACACAGTTACCCCTGCAGGGACATGGCATGGGGCACAGCCACCGCTGTGTGTCCATGTCCTCTGGGCCATCAAACAAACACAGCAAATTCCCCATCCTGCAAGGAGCTGGGGAATTCTCCCAGAGCAAGTGCAGGTGGGGCTGGGGGTGAGAGGCAGCAGCTGCCAGCAGGGAATGCTGAATGAACCTCTGGGGGCAGCCAGGGTGAGCACAGCCCGTGGATTCTCCAAGGTGCAAATGCACATCCCACTCACCAGTGGGCTGGGGAGACTGGCAAAAATAACAACTGCTGGAATGGAAGCACACACTGCTCACTGCACTGAGGCTGTCACAGCCCACCAGGAACACACCAAACTCCCAGAATCACAAAGCCCTCACAAGGCTGCAGATACACATTTTTAACAGCAATTAAATTCTTTTCCCCTTTTGTGATCTTCTCCTCTGTGCACATCTGTGGCAATAAGATGCACGTGACCCCGAGCACAAATGATCTTGTTCCCAGCAGGCTCTTCCAAGGAAAGCTCTTCTCCAGAGCTCTCCTCACCCTCCAGCAGTTCCTGGTCACACAGCTGCTCCTGCACTCTGCATTTCCATCCCTCTACCTATTTTTGGGGGTCTGCATTCACAGTCAGACAAAGGAGCAGGAAACAAAGACTGGGTCAGAACAAAAAGGTGTTTCCCTTCCCGTGTAGGAAAGGTAAAGGTGACAAGCAGAGGAAACACTGGCACAGAGCCTTGTGTGTCTGCCAGACAGAAATTCCACCACTGGGGAATTTTCTGCACAGAGCAGCCCTTCCATGCCTGGAGGGTGAAAGCTGTGACCCTCCAAGGTTTCCTGTTCTGGTAAAGAGCCACATTGTCTCTGGTAAGGCTGAACGCACAACAGGTGGGTAAAGCCACCTGGAGGGGGAAGGAGGAGCTCAGCAGAGGGAATGCTGATGGCCAGGGGCTGTGTGAACACAGGGCCACAGGCCCAGCCCCACCATGGCCAGCTCTCCATCCTGCATCCCAGCAGGAATCTGCAGCTCCTCTCAGCAGGGACACCCAGCCTCTGAGCAGGGTGGGAATGGGTTTGTGCCAAAAGCAAACCAAAACCCAGATTCCTCCCACAAAACAAGCTGTGCAGCTGAAAAGCTGCTGAGCAGCCCTGGCCTGCAGGACCTCACCACACAAATGCTGCTCCCCAGGAGCCAACACCCAGTTTATTAGTGACAAACCCACCAAGAGGGACATTCACCACATCACAGAGCAAACTCCCAGCTCCAAGGAGGCACAAACCGGCCCACGAGGCAATGAACAGCCTGCAAGGACTGGGGGGATTTTTTCCTGCTGTATCAGTGATCTTTGAGCATCCTTGTGGCTGGGAGACTCCTGATCTCACCAGGGGGACTGTGCTGCTTATCAGAACAGCACATGAGCTGCTAAAATCCTGCCAGGGAGATGGTTCAACCTGTCCTGAGCTAAACCTGGACACCAGGATGGGCTCCTGCCTTTGGGATGGCTGCTGGGCAGGGATGGAGGCAGCTGCTGTCAGTGGAACAGAAGGGAACTCTCACAGGGAACTGGCTGGGACACTGAGGCTGCCATGGGGAGCAGATGTTTCCTCAGGCCAGAGGATGTACATAAGATCAACTAGAGGAAGCATTATTTTATCTTTTTTAAAAAGTAGACTGCAGGAGAAAAGAAAAATCAAGTTTTATGTATTCTGGCTGCAAGAAGTCATTTCCTTCATGTTTGCCTTTATCCACAGGAGCTGATGTTTTCACTTCTGGTGGGTGGCTTCTGTCCTGCTGGGGACAGGGAAGATGCAGGAAAAGCCATGTCCTTGTTCCCACCACGTGTGCACACATAGGCACACGTGAGAGCAAACCATGAGTGCTGCTGGCTGTTGTAGGGAAATTTGGAATGGATTAAAATGGCTGCTTGGCATGGAAAGCACACATGGAGCTGTGGCTGGGCATGGACAAGCTTGTCCCCAAGGGCTCTCACTTGCTGTGTTTGTGTCACTCCTGAGGAGGCACACAGAGCCCTGGCAGGGAAAACCAGAGCCCAGCACAGCAGGAAAACCTAAAAACCCTTCCCCATTTTCAAGGCATTGTTCACAGATGGGAAGCCCAGCCAGAGGAGGGACCTGTCCCCAGCTGTGGAAGCACAGCTGTGCTGGCTCCCCCTCAGGAACCTGAGGCAGGGGAAGGGATGTGGTGGCACAAAGGGTGGCACTGCTCAGCTGTGCTGCTGCCCATCCATAACCTCACTGGATTGTGAAAATCCCCCAAAGCACGAGCACAGCCAGTCAGAACTGAAGTTCCCATGGGTTTCACAATGAACCAGCATTACTCTCTAGTTTGGAGCACTCCTGCCTCTGCAGCTTTCAGCAGCACCCATCAGAACTCTGCCCATGTGAAGCTGATGGGCCCTGTGCAAACCCCAGAATTCCTGAGTGGAGTCTGCAGGAGTCACTGCTCATTCCAAGCCTGCAGCCCAGCCCACAGCCCAGGCTGGCTCCTTTCTGTGTCTCTGCACTCACAGAGTTCTGGACACCCCTTCCCCAGGGAAAGCATCGTGCCTCTGACACTCAGAAACCATCTCACAATGCAGCCTGATCTCCAGATGTGTTTAGGGGTGATCTACCCCCGTTTGGGTTTGTGGCAGCATGACCAGGCTCAAGAGCCCTCTCCCACCCCTTTCTGCCTGCCAGGGGTCCCCTCTGGGCTCCCCTGACCACCCAATGGCTTCTCTAGAGCTGCTCCAGTTGGGAATCACCTTTCAGCAGATGTGCCTCACCCTGACCACTCACTCAGAGAAGGAGCAGAACCTTTGGAGCACCAAATGAGTATTTCCACATTGAGGAAATATCTCAGCTGACTTCTCTTAAGGCTGCTTCCTCACTGTTTCCTCCCAGAGGTTCCCAGCTTCCCTGAAACAAATAACTCCTGCTCTGGTGAAGGTGTCCCTGACCACAGGGTGAGCCTCAAGGTCCCTTCCAACCCCAACCATTCCATCACTCTGTGGACACACCTGCCTCCTCCTCCTCCTGCATTCCCAAAGGCTGTTTGTCCATGACAAACTGGTCATGACCAGCAGCCCATGTTACACTATAACCCTGAGCACTATTTCCAACCTAAAGCAATGCTGGTGTGACACCAAACCCCATCAAGAAAAGAGAAATAAATATTCCCCAAATGTTAAAAAAAAATATTAATTTGGTAGAGCTGAGGAGCCATTAAAGCTTTGATAATTAAAAGGACAAATAAAAAACTGCCTCTTTAATAACTTATCTAATATTCAACATGTAACCTGGGAACCTCAGACAAACATTCCAGCTAATTACAGCCCACAGCCTCATGAATGTCTATGTTTAAAGTACATCTTCCCCAGTCACTTCCTTTCTGACCTTCTTCACTGGTTAATTATTGTGTGTGCATGTGGTTCACACAGAAAAAGAAAAAAACACACAAAGAAGAGGGGAAAAAAATCCTCTTGGAACTGGCTCCTAAAGCAAAACAAAACTGGTCATTCTGAAAGTACTCTGAGCTGCAAATAACAAAATGAAGCCATGTTTGCACTCCCAGGGTTCTTTACTACACACAAAAATCATTTCTCTATGTGCCCTGCCTGGTCAAACCCAAACACTGTTCCTTTTTTTTTTTTTAACGTTTTTTAGCTTAACCAGCAAACTGGAAATATGAGTTCTTCTTTTTGCCTTCCCATAAAAATCTGCCCAAGATCTGCCTGGTGGTGCCAAGCAAGGTCAGGAACTCTCCTGTTTCCAGCAAAGGCGGGTCAGGGCCAGCCTGGGGTGCTGTGAGGAAATGTCCCTTTTCCACAGCCCTCTCCACTGGGAAAGGAAAGGCAAATTGCAAATCCTGCTAACTCCAGCAGTGTTGCTCCAGCCTGTTCCTCAGCCTGGGGTCACACCAGAGCTCTGAGAGGCCAGCCTGGCACTGAGAGGCATCCCAGCCCCAGCAGAGCTGCTCGTTCTGCCCCAGAGAGAGAAAACTGCATTTACACATCATTTACTCCTTCACCCTCTGTTCATCCATCCTCCTGCCTCGCTGTGCAGGGATCCCAATCCCAAAGCCCGGTGGCACTGGCTGAGTGTCACCTGTCCCTGTGTCCTGCCTGCAGCCCCATCCAGGGGTGAGTCCCAGCCAGGGGAGCTCTGTGGGATGAGGGAACCTGCTCCAGGGACAGCTCTGGCCTGGAGCCACCCTGCCAGGGCAGCCCTTCCTCCTAAACCCCAGGTCCTGTTTCCTTCTGAGTGAACTCCTTCCCCTTGGAGTGAAATGGGTTTGATTTCCAGCTGAGGAAATGCCCAGCCTGATCCCGACCGCTGCAGGGTGTGCGTGGGTTCTTAAATTAACACAGATGAGCAACAACATGTTCCCTTTTTCCTCACCATTGATTAAAAGAGAAAACATCACACAAACGCTGCCTGTGGTGCTCTTCTGATCATCTTTGATTCTTGAGGCTGAAATGTCACTCCTGGGACTGAGCTCCCGGGACACCTGGCTGAGGAAATCACCCCAGGACAGCAAAGCCACACCTGAAGCTAAAAACACCAACCAAAGAAGGAAAGAGAAGCAGCTCGGTGACAGAGGCCTGGAGATGAAGGGCTGGAACACAAACCCTGTGAGGAAGCCCTGAGGGAGCTGGGGGGGCTCAGCCTGGAGAAAAGGAGACTCAGGGGTGCCCCCATCACTCTCACAGCTCCTGAAAGGTGCCTGTGCCCAGCTGGGGCTGGGCTCTGTCTGCAGCAGCACTGACACAGCCAGAGCACACAGCCTCGAGCTGCACCAAAGGAAATACAGGCTGGATAGCAGGGAAAAACTTTTTCCAGCAAGGTGATAAAGTTCTGGAATGGCTGCCCGGGGAGGTGGTGCAGTGCCCATCCCTGGGGGTGTTTAACAAAGCCTGGATGCGGCACTGGGGGCCAGGGTTTGGTTGGGGTGCTGGGGCTGGGTTGGACTCCCTGATCTCTCAGGTCTCTTCCAACCCAGTCATTCTGGGAATTCTGCAATTCTGTGCAGTTTTGTCCCTGCCTCCTCCCTTGCTTTAAGCAGTCAGGGATTTTCTTGGGCTCCCCAAGCGCTGCCAACTCCCCCACGAGAGATCCAGAGAGGCTGCACGGGGACAGCCGTGGGACTGTGGGGAGAGCAGGAAAGGGATGCTCTGAAATTCCTGCTAGAAATCCTTCCAGTTATCCATGACAGTGTTTTGACAATGCAAATGGCATCTGGATGTGGGAAGAGAATAAACTGTGATGAATATTCTGCTGTGACCACGCTTCTGGCCCAATCTGGTGCTCCTGGGAGCCAGTGACAGCTCTGCTATTGCTTTCAGTGGGTGCAGGTTTCACACCATCCCTCTTTACCCTGGGGCTGGGCAAAGGAGGCTGTCAGCCCCCCTGACACATCATTCAGGGAGTGTAAAAGGGCTCCAAATGAACATAAATGCAAATTTAGCCTTCCCAAGTCCCCTTTTACAGCACCCCATCAGTGTAAAGGGAGCTGCAGCAGAAAAGAGACGCTCTGAGTGTAGTGAACACAAGTGTTTTCCCCTCATTCAAATCCATAAAGACAAGCTGGGATTACTCCAGGAATCCCATGAAGTGTAAGAGTCCTGGATGAAGGGGAATTCCCAAGTCACTGAATGTCTGAGAGCAGCATCAGCCCCTGCTGAAGACCCCCAGCCCCAGGGAACAGCACCTCATGGGGCTCCTGCTCACATGGAAGCACCTGGGAAGGGACTGGACCCACCAGGCAAAAACTGTTGTCTCTGGACTCCACTGACAGCTGGGCACAGGAAAACTGAAAATTCCCAGCAACAGAACACAGAGCAGCTGTAAAAATCTCCCTGTGGGGTTTGTGTGAGGCTGACAGGCATTGTAAGACAGAGGGCAGTCACAGGGATCCTCTCCCACTGTGGGAGCAGAAAGAAGATCAGAACCCTTTCCAGGCAAAGACACTTCCAAGGTGATGGTCAGACCAAAGGAGCAGCCCTGAATTCCCCAGCTAACCCAGGCTCAGGCTGCTCCAAGAGCACTGAGAAGGCACTGAGGCAGGGGCTCACATGAAAGCCTACATGAGTTTATCCCTGCAATGTTTTTGCTGTGTGAGGTTGAAGGGGGAGTTCTCCTTTCTCTCTTTTTGAACCCTAAAAACCCTGCACGCCTTTCCCTCTGTCCCAGGAAGCACTGGGCTGCTGGGATACAACATGCTCAGTTCCTGGGACATCCAGAACTCAGAACTGACCCTTTTGGTGAGGGGATTTCCACACCCTCTTTCTTTGCCAAGCAGCCCCACATCCAAAAAACATCCTGGGCTAACACAGCTGGGAATGTGCACCAGACACAGGAGGCACTGAAGCTCCCCTGCTCTCACACTGAGATGGAAGCAACAGGCTCCATGCTCTACAGAAGCACCAGCATGCTGCAGAAGGATGTGATCCACTACAGCTTAAAAAAAAAAATCCTACCAATATAGTTCCAAATAAAAATTACCAATTTCAGGCAAGATCTTATTAGCCCATCATATATGTTTATCTCAGGAGTTTCTTCTGATGGAATCAAGAAGAATTACTGATTTTCAAATTCTAGTTCAAACCTATCCTGCAAAAACTCAGCAGCACCTAATCATGAAGACACCTTGTAACATAGCCCTAAAAAGATATTTTGAAACTGCTGGGGCAATTACAGATAGCCTCTGCCCAATATTTAAAGATTTGGATGCAATGAGCAGGCAGGGCATGGCACCAGCATTCTGATCATGGTTTTTGAGGGGCACCACCGTGGCTGAAGAAATCATGGAGATAAATCTGAGCTGTGGGACACATCCCTGGGCCTTCCAAGAAACAGCTCAGCCCATCCCATGCTGTCTAAACTGCAACAAGCAGTTTAGAAACGTGCAGCTGGAGTAAAGGAATTAGTGTTGGTGGCTCTGAATGACATCCATTTGGAGCACACAGGCAAGGCAAGAGCAGCATGGCTGTTTCCTGTGAATAAGACAAATGCTACGTCTACCTCGGTGAGTCAGCCAAACCGGGGGGCAGAGTGTGAAAATGTGAGGGATGTATTCTTCTGAAAACAATGGAAATGGGGAGGGCTTCCAGCAGCCACCAGCACAGCTCTGGGACTTCCGTGCACGGCCTGCTCCAAGCTTTCATGCCCTGCAACAGCAACATTCCCAGCAGCTCTGTGCCAGCAGGAGAAGGAAGGGCAGCAGCCCAGCCTGGGCATCCCCAAGTGCAACATTTTCCCCAGAAGTTTTTGCCTTCACATGCACTGGATGTGCAAGCCACGAAGCAGGAACTTGAGATTTCTCAGAATATGACACTGCAACATGGGAAACCCCACAGAAAACACAACAATCTCACAAATGTAAAGGAAAGATGGAGATGCAACAGCCCTGACCTCACTACAAAGCACCTGGGTCCTTCCACAGGCACAGGTGAACCAGACCTGTTTAATGACCACACTGGGAAACACAGGGAGTGGATCAGGTCAGCCCAAAAGGAGCACAGAGGGGGCACAGCTGTGTAACACCCAGATTAACTACAACCCAGATTAGCCCAAAAGGGGCACAGAGGGGACACAGCTGTGCCACAACCCAGATTAGCCCAAAAGGTGCACAAAGGTGGCACACCTGTGCTACATCCCAGTGAACCAGGCAGGACTGCTGAGCACCACGTTGGTCACCCCAAGGCCACCTTACTGAGCTTCCTGCCAGGGCTGTACAGCTCGGACACTGACTGCCAGGGCTTGTTTCTCATGTGACATTCCTATGACCACAACCAAGGAGCAGGAAAAAACAGTCAGGCAGCAAAGCCACCTCTCCCCATTCCTTGATCTGTCACACTAACCCCTGGCTGGTGCACATCAAAATGTGCAGAGAACCTGAAGAGAAGAGCAATGTTTCCATCTGGTTCCAGATCCTGAGTGAAGTGGGACTGATGTCACTCCTCTCCTTCCTACCCACCCTTCTCCTTTGACCTCCTGCCCATGACCCTACTCCATCACAGCTTCTCTAACTGCAGCTATTTGTACCTACAGCTTCCCACTCAATGGATGAAAATGAGACTCCTTTTGCTACTGTCCACATCCTCCTGAACAGCTCTGGCACAAACGATGGATCTCGCTTTCACTCCACTACTGGCTACAGGTAGGAGAGGTACCACGGTCACCAAAGGCTACCTGGTCTGACCTGCAAATAGAAAAACTGTTCCCACCTGGAACGACATGCTAACTCGGCATGTAAATCTGCAGAAACCTGCCGTTGGCAGGTAAATTTCTATAAATACTCCCCTTCAAAAAATAGCCAAACTTTGAGGAACGCAAGGATGCTGAGCAGCACCGCGAGCCTGGCGCAGCTCGGCAGGTCCAAGGAGCGCAGCAGCCGCGCTCGCACACAAAAGGGAGGAAGGCTGAAAGGGAGCTCTCTCTCCATTTTCCAGCCGCGGGAGGTCGGCGCTGCCCTCCCAGGTGCGGGGCCGGGGCAGCGCCGGGAGGCGGCCGGGGCAGGGCCGGGCCGGGCGAGCGCCGTGCCGCCCATCGCGCGGCGAGAGGGGCTGCACAAAGCGCCCGGCCGGCCTTTGTTCGCGGGAGCGGAATTCCACGGCTCCTTTCCTCCTCTTCCTCCCTCCCTCCCCCGCTCCCCGCGGGAGCTGCCCCGGGGGAGCGGCCCCGCGCTCGGCGCCCGCCGCGCCCGCTCCGGGCCCTTTGTGGCGGCCGGGGGGAGCCGCGGCCCCGCGGCCGGACCCTGCCCGTGGCCCCCGGAGGCCGGCGGGGCGCGGGGCCCGAGGGCCGCGCCGGGCCCGCCCGTCCCCGGGGCGCGGCAGCGGCGGAGCCCCCGCGGCCGGGCCCGCCCGCCCCCCGCGCGGCGGCGCCGCCGCCGCCCCGGCCCGCCCGGCCCCGGTACCTGCTGATCTTCTGGGCGAAGGCGCGGCGCTCGGCCATGGCCGCGCTGCGGGCTCCGCGCTGCCGGCCCGGGCAGCGCTCGGCCGCCGTAATGCTCCGCCGAGCCGCGCACTTGAGCGGCGCAGCTCCCACCCCCGGCGCTCGCCGCGCCCGCCGCCTCCTCCCCTTCCCGCCGCGGGGCCGCTCCTCGCACATATACGGCGGGGAGTGACCGCGGCCGGCCCGCTCCCGTCCCCATCCGTGCTCCTGTCCCCGTCCCCATCCGTGCCCTTATCCCTACCCCCGTCCTCTGTCCTCATCCGTGCCCTTATCCCTGTCCTCTGTCCTCATCCGTGCCCCTGTCCCTATTCCCGTCCTCTGTCCCCATCCCTGTCCTCGTCCCTGCCCCTGTCCCCATCCCTGCCCCCGACCATATCCCCGTCCCCTGTCCCCTTTGCTGCACCTACCCCTATCCCCGTCTTCTGTGCCCATGTCTTCCCCTGTCCCTAATCCAGTCCTCTGTCCCCATTCCTATCCCTGTCCCCATTCCTATCCCTGTCCCCATGCCTGCTTCTATGCCCATCCTTTGTCCCCATCCCCGCCCTTGTCCCTATCCCTGTCCCTATCTCCGTCCCCTGTCCCCATCCCCAGAGTGCTGACCCCCTTGGCCTGGGGCTCCCCTTGCAGTGCCGCGTTATTCCCGAGTGAGAGCAGAGCGGCTGGGGCTGTTCTCAGCACTGATGGGGATCCGCCGGTGGTTTGGGGAAAGGCTCCTCAGCATCGCTCCCCAGCCCTCGGTCCAAAACTGCTGCCAGACCAACCCTTGGCAGCACCAGAATCCCAGGATCACTGGGGTTGGAAAAGCCCTCCTGGATCATCTAAGCTGTGCCCAGTCCCCACCTTGTCACCAGCCCAGAGCACTGAGTGCCACCTCCAGTCCTTCCTTGGACACCTCCAGGGCTGGGGACTCCAAACCTGCCTTCCAATGTCTAATCACCCTTTCCATGAAGAAATTCCTCCTGATGTCCAACCTAACCCCCCCGGTGCAGCTTAAGACCTTGCTGGGTGCCCTGGGTCTGTAGGGCATGGCCAGGTCCCTTGGCCAGACAAAACTGGGCTTCCAGTCAATCCCGCCGCATATCATCCCATCTTTTCCTTCAAAAAGGCTAAAAATTGTCCCTAATGATGTTTCAGGAGATGGTTGGAAGATTGCACCATCCATTCCCACCAAACATGCCATTACTAGCAGTGTCTCCAACCACATCATGGTTTGGGATTATCTAAGGGGAAGAGGAGGTAGAAGGTGGGGAATCATTAACAAAAATTACTGTTCTGTGACTCCAAAAGACTGAGCCCAGGACATGATCTAGCAGATAACACCAAGTCCCTGCTACCCAACATATGCTGTGCACTAATCCAACCCAGGGAACTATTAATAGTCACCCAGGAAGTGTCCCAAAGCAGGAGTGTTAATTCCCCCCAGTCCATCTGCTTGGGTTCTGTGAAGGTTTCCCTCACATGGAGGACACCAATCCTCCCCCTGGCAGAGCTGCTGGTTTCCAGCTGTGTGCAATTCCTCTGCTCTGCTCTCTGTGTGTGTTTGCACAGGCAGTGCCCCAAAATCTGCAAAAATCTCTGTGTGTGAGTGATGCCAGGGGATTTAATGCAGCCACCAAGTGAATCCCTGTGGGTGAGGCTGTGCCCCAGGACACAAAGGTGCTGTCATGTGTCACACACGTGCACACAGACAGAGACCCTGGGAAGCAAAGACCCATTGTAGGCACTGAGAAAGGGATGTTCTTCTCCAAGGGGGAGGGGAGGAAATATCCCACAGACCTCGGCCAAGACAAAAGGCTCTTGCTCTGGAGCTGCTGCCGGCGTGTGGAACTGCACACCAGAGAAGGCCTCACACTGTGCATGGGATAGGAGATTTGCCTCCTTACATCCACAGAAACTGTGGTTGCCCCATCTCTGGAAAGATGGGGCAGGGCTTGGAGCACCCTGGAATAGTGGGAGGTGTCCCTGCCCAAGGCAGAGGGATGGAACTGGATGAGCTTTAAGATCCCTTGCAAGCCAAAGCAGTCTGGAATTCTAAGATCAAATTCCCAAATCTGAGTGTGTGCACTCACAAGAACAGACCAAAGCATCAGGGATCACCAGCAATGCTTCCTCTTCTCCCCTTTTTTATACCCAAAATGGCACTAGTCTGGAATGCAGGAGGGCAAAATACCCCTGCCTACCCAAACACTGAGACCAAAACTGGGAATCTGCAGTTGTGAGAGGAAAACTCTTCCTGCTGCCAGAGGGTGCAAAGAGCAGCCCAGCCCCAGCAGCCCTGACACAGAGGGCACGGAGTATCCAAGGTCCACTGGAGACCTCTGGGATTTTAGGTTTCATTTTCCCCTCCTGCCAGCCATTACCACAGAGAAAGGACCTTAGTGAGGCTCTGGGCACTTCTTGCTGGGTTTTGATGTCTCCTTTGCTTTTCCTTGACTTTTTCTGTAGCTGAGAGCTGGCCCAGAGGAGCTCCAGCCATCCCACCTGGATTTAAAATGGACCTCTATCAATACAGATATATAATAGATATAAATTTTCTAGATAATATTTGTATTATATTATCCAATAATATCTATTCTATATAAATAATATATTATATGTATATAAAATATTATTATATTATTGCCTTCACATTAGGAGGGCATTGCTTTGAAGAGAAATAGGTTTTCTCCATATAGTTGGGTTAAATATGAGCAGAATCCCTCAATTAACAGTCAATACCCAGTGAACTTCAGAAAAATATTCATTACTTTTCAGATAGTGACTAGCAAGTCTATAAAGTGTGTGGGTTCAAATAGTAAGAAATCACTAACATTGGTAGAAAGGTATATGTGGCCTTGCAAAAAACCCCAAGAGCTTTTGCAAATTGACCCTCAATTTTGCAGTGCATGTAGCATTAACCAAAAGGTATCAAGGAAAAAGTGAAGAAATAAGAGAGAAAAAAAAATTGCAGTCTTCAGCCATTATAAATCAAAAAATGCCAAAGAAAAAATTCATGGTAAGAACATGGGGGGATTGATGTGCTGATGTCAGGGTACTTTTTTGGGTACTAAGGTGAGGGTTGCCTCTTCCAGGCACAGTCACAATCCTTCTGCCTCTTGTTTTGTCATCCTAGAAGTGAATTAACTGAAGGAAATGCTTGGTCTGAGGAAACAAACAAGCTTTGCAAAGAGGAGAATGTGACCACCAGAGCAACCTTACATAGAACTACAGTCTGCACAAAAAATACTTCTTTAGGTACTAGCAGATCCCTGATTCAGAAACAACAGTTGTGTGGCAAGTTTTCCTGCAAATTGAACCATTTTCTTTAAAAACAGGGGGAAAATGTGTGTGATTTATGATGTACTGGGAGTGTCACACTGTTTATTTTGCAGAGTTTCTTGTGCCCATGTATTGTTCTCAAGGGTGTCTGGTACCTCAGAGTGAGAGTGAAGACAAATCAAGAGTGGAGGGGCTGTGTACATGCAATTAATACCCCCAGACAGCCCAAGTTAATTTTAATTAATGTTTGAATAGAGGCTACATAGTAACCAATGTAAAACCTGGAATTTTACCAGCATTATGAGGATACTCAATAACTACTCTCCTTTAACACACTGTAATTCCTCACCATGTTTTAGGAAGCAAAAGCAGGAACCTGGCTTGTTCCAGGCTGGATTCCAACAGAAGAACTCATCAGCCTTTGGGAAACATCCCTGCCTCCAAAAAGCATCCATGGCCTGGACACAGGACACTGAAAGGGGGACAATGAAGCAGCATTTAATCAATTCGCCAGGGTACCTCTCCATGAACCACCTGCATCCTTTAAAACATGTGACTAAAATGATTTTTTTATAATTGAGGATGACTTTTACCGGGCTATAATTAAATTTTGTAAGTGCACCCTACCAACACACATGTAACTCCTTGAGCCTGACAGAAGTCATCTTACAAGATTAGGTCCTGCACAAGAAAAATCCCTTTGGATCCCAGCCAGAAAACATTTGGTCAGAAGTGAGCTGATCCTTGCCTTGCCTGTTCGCAGATTATTTCCTGAGCCCAGGGCTTCCTTGTTCTCCTGACGTAAACTTCCTCAGGGCAAAGGCAAGGAAACATTTTCCAGGGAAAAGGCTGGAGTAATTCCATAAACAAAGGCGTAAATAGGGACTGCAAATGCAGGGAGCCACCTCCTGGCAGCACCGGGAAGGGCCAAACCCCGGCTCTCCCGGCAAAAACTCTTTAAAAATAAAGTTACATGTGTGTCACAAACACCATCTCCTCTGGACAGCTCTGGCAGGAGATAATGGGTACTGTGCTGCTCTTCTCAGGCTGCCCAGTACCCAAATTTTCCTGGAGAAACCAGGAGATTTAAGGAGGGAGGACTCTCCAAATTCCTGCAGCCTTCACTACATCCCTGACATCCCTGTTATTTCCTTTACAGAACTGCACCAGCCTTTCCAGAGCCTTCTTCACATGGTGGTGTTTGATGGCAGCTTCACTTCTGCTCTACTGTCTCCTGGTACATTTATTTTAGGATTTCTTCACTTCAAAAGGTGGGTTCAAGAAATTAAATGTTCTCAGAGAAGGACTCAAAGTCTTCCCAAGTGAGCTTCCATTAATTCCTTCTATTAATTCCTGCTCATGTTTATCATTTTTGTAGTTTATGTTTCCACCCCGAGCACAGCTCTCAGCCTTTCCCAGTTCAGCACCCTATAAATGGCATTAATGTGTTTTATTTCCCTTTGCATAATTAGGATCTTACATTGAGGGTAGCCTGGGCACAGACTGATCCTGCTGAAGCCTCCTCCTCCTTACCCTGCTCCTGGGACAAAGGAAATCTGGATTGGGAGGGACTGAGTGGTCCCAGCAGAAGTTTGCTGGTTAATTTGGGGGGAACCACATCAGAGCAATCCAGATCCTGCTGCCCCTTCACCCTCACTGTGCTTGAAAGGATGCACAAACCCACACAGTCTGAATTCCCATGTTTTCCCCTTTTCCTGTTCCAGAGTCTCTGTTGACCTGAGCAGCCACTCCCACAAAAACTGGAATTATTTAACATCTCTGAGGCTCTGCAAACTTGAATTCAGAGCAGTTTCAAAACTTTCCAGAGGGAAACAGACCACAGATGGCTTACTTTCCTAGGAAATGAAGCTAAAAATAAATGAGGAAAATTCCCTTCTCTCCAACCACTTGACCCAAGGTCTGCTCTCCACAGGCAACAATGTTTGGGAAAGCACATTTGGCCAAATGTTTAATGAGCTTTTCTAAATATATTGCAGATTACTGATGATGGAACAGTGGCAGGAACAGGAGCAGAAGCTTCATTCCCCAGTGCCCAGTGTTCTCTTACCATTCTGCAGTGTTTGGAGGATAAATGTTGTGTATCTCCAGAAATCAGAGTATCTCCTCTAATTTTTAACCTTGCCATTGCCACTTGGTGTTACCCACCTTGTTCACCTATTAAAAAATAAAGAAGAGACAAATTATATTTTCCAGGAAAAAAGAGATTTTCAAAATCTCCTTATGGCATTCAAATGGAGCTCAGAGATGGTTTTATGCCACTAAAATGTTGAAAGTGTGAATTCTCTGACATTTGTTCTAAGTTTGTTGAACTCAGTTCCCTCTCACTCCCTCTGCAAACCTTTCCTACAGAAACAGGAATTGGTGGATATGCAGAAAACTCTCTGTTTTACAGACAATTATTTATGGTTGCCTGAGTGATTATTTGGCAATCAAAACTTTGTTTTTTGTGGGAAAAAAAAAGCAGAAAATAAATACCTTCCCTCTCATCCCCTGCCTGCCCAGGGATTTACAGGGTATGTCCAGGTGTGGCCCATCAATTCAGGGCATGGTTATTAAATTTGAGAGCAGGAAGGTGCAGGAAGGGGAAGAGCCATTTCCTTTGATCAGCTGGATAATTCCTTGCACATTTAGGCAGATCCAAGCCCTGTCAGCTCCTCAGCTCTCCACCTTGCAGCCCCTACACAGACAGACAAGAACATCCATCTCTGTCTCAGGGAATAAAAGCAAAGATAAAACTTTAAACAACTATAATTCCTAGAACAGATCATGAAATTCTGGAGGCAGCAGGCCTCTTTCTTTCTGCACTGTCACAGTTTTATGAGTTTATGCAAGCAGCAACAGGGGTTTTTATTTTTAAATCTTTTTTTTCTTTATCTTGGGAGCAAAGGGCAAGCAGGGAGCTGAAAGGCAGGGAAGGATTAGAAAGGTGATCTGCTACATCCCCACCCCAGGCCAACAGCAGACTTTTGGAACAAGATGTAGTCTGCACATTAAAACCTACAATCCTCTTTACTGATCAACCCTCCTATGTGAAATATATCCATGAGGCTGCAGGGGGAAAAAAAAAACAACAAAACACCACGAAATACACAAAGCATCTATTGTTAGCAGCTCACTGCAGCTAAATGTTAGATCATGTGCTGATTATAAAAAATTAAGCTCAGCCTGATCGTCTCTGACCAGCAGAAGGCAGTAAAATCACAAAATGGAAAAAAAACCCCACATGACTTTGCTTCATGAACCCAAAATTGGGCTGGTGAGTACCAGGGAAAAAAGGAATATTAGGATCTTGGTGGAGCACTAATGCCAGTTCCAGATAGCTGAGAAATTCAGCTCAATCCTCCACAAATCCTGCACTTTTTTTTTTTTAAGCTCGGCTCCCGATACAGCCAATGAGTATTTTTAAGCAGCTTAAGACAAACAGATTAATGAAGAACCTACTTTACAAAACACTTTTTAAAAACCTAGAAAACCCCTCAGGAGAGCGAGAGGAGATGCAGTGGTTTTGATGGGGCTTTTAGAGAGGAAATAAAGGAGAGAATTGAATCGGAGCACACTCGGCTGGGTATTTAGGCTGGAAATTGAAATCCTTCAGGGAGTTTGGAGATGTGGGGAAACATTTTGCTATGCAGGAATCAAAGGACACGGAATTAAAAAACAAAAGTGAAAACAAAACTAACAAAAAGCCCACAAAAACCAAAAAAACAAAACCACCTAAACCAAAAGAAGGAAACCACACATGCACCAAAAAAAAAAAAGAAAAAACCAAACCCAAAGAAAACCACAAAAAAAAAAACTCAAAACAAAACCAGGCCCCTCCTAAAAAAACCCGAGCAAAGAGAGAAGCGCTGTTAAAGGACAGCCGCAGACCCGTGAAGGGGCAGGGATTTCGCTTTCAGCCGCGGCGCGGCCCCGCCACCTCCCTCCATCCTCTTCCTCCCTCCTTCCCTCCTCTTCCTCCGTTCTCTTCCTCTCTCCCGCCTCCCAGCCGCTCTCCCTCCGGACTACACTTCCCAGCGTGCATTGCGCGCAGCCCGCCGCTGGCCGCGCCTCGCCCCCGCCGCAGCGCCCGCCGGGAGTTGTAGTTCGCGCGCCGCTGCGCCGCGGCCAGAGCAGCGCCGGGAGGCCGCGCGCTGTCCGGGCGGCCCCGGGCATGGCGGAGGCGGCTCCGTGAGGGGTGAGCGGCGGGCGGCGGCGGCGGGACGGGCTCTTTGCAGCAGCAGCTCGGGCGCGGCCGCGTCCTGTGGGGTCGGGAGCCGCCGAGCCCCTTGCCGCGGTGCGTGCGGGCTCCTGCTCGGCTGCGAGTCCTGCCGGGCGTAGCGCTCCGTCCCTGCTGCAGCACTGAGGAATAATTGGTTTTCTTGGCGAGCCGCCTTCCCAGTATCGTTTCTAACTGCCCTCGAATGTGTTTGCAGAGCCTCAGAAATGACCTCCGGCCTCTGCTCCCCGTCCTTCTTCCGTGTGGGTGCCGCTGACCGCCGCCGCTGCCGCTCGGGGCTCCTTCAAGGTAAGAATGAAAACCAGACAAGTCTTAGTTAATAGCAGATCATTTATCTTATAATTACCTCATTGAGGCTTCATTCATCCTTCCCGCTGCGGTATTACCGGCAGCTTGCGTTGCTTTTCTGCTGTTTATGCACACAAACGCTGTTTTGGGGGTTTTGGGGTGTTTTCCATCCCTGTGAGCGCCCAGCCGCTCCCGGCAGGGATCCCCTCAGGGGGCTCAGGAATTGGGGCTCAGTTCCAGCCGTGTCCTGCTCTCCCTGAGGGAACATCATCCTCGATGAGCATCCGAACAACTTCAGACATCAGGCAACTTCGGGATGAAACCATGCGCTTTGGTCATTTGATATTCAAGGCTTTAATATTCCTGAGACCTTTAATATTCCTGGTGCTGCTCCATTAACGCCGTGAAACTCTTACTGACGATTTCTTACATTGATGGCAAGAACCTGTGTTTTCCTCATGAAAAAATTATACTTGGTTTGTGTTAGCATTCTTGGAAGCTCTTTTTGCATCTTTAGCATAATGTCAGAGAAGAAATGTACCAGGAGGAAAGATAAATGTGCTGTGGTGACCATTGTCTTTGAAAAGAAAATTAGCTTCTTTCTCATTTACATAATTTTGTCTTCAAGCCGTTTCAGAACTGTAGAGTTTGTTTCATTTCTAATTTTAGCCAGAGGAAGCTTTTACAGGAATTGGTTTTTAGGGCAATCAGTGGTGTCTGGATAAATGGTTGTTGCTGATGGATCATGTGAGGGAACATAGGACCAAACACTCCTCCTGAAAAAGTTCATTTTGCCACTTTGCTGTCTGGAGCTGGTGATACAGTCAGGCTTTCCTTTATTTTCCTAAAGAAATAAAAGGGGGGAAAAGGCAGGAAGTTAAAACCCAGCTTGAAATTCTCCTTTTCTTCCTTCCCCTGCTTAACACAAGGCTAATCACAGCAGGGATGTACACACTTGTTATTTTCACTAGGAAAACCTCAGCCTTCCCTCATGTTTGTGAGTTGGCATTGCTTCTTTTTATGTCAAAAAGCAGATTTTTATGAGGGAATAGTGGGAAAATGTGCTAGGGGTGATTTGGAAGGCAAATTGCAGATCCCAAAAATTGGATGTGTGTGAGGCTCAGGTGATGCTGCCACCCTGACACCCTCACCCTCTCCTTAATTACACTGTCAGTGATTGGGTTTACTTAAAATTCATTCCCAGTGGAGAGAAGTGACCCAGTTAAGTCTTTGTCCTGCTTTTGATCCCTGTTCCATGGAGAATAGCACGTGGGAAGGTAAATACAGTTCTAGATACTCCTTTTATAGCAAGGAGGTTTTTCTTGGCTCAAGTTTATGAATTAAATGAGGAAGTTCACTGTTGCTCATGTCAGCTGGTGCTGTCAGAACTCAGATAAAAATTCTGTGAAGGCTGCAGTGATGTCCCACTGTTGATCAACTTCTGATGTCCCACAAGAGCTGCTGTTGAGCAGGAGCTCTTAATTTTTCATCTCTCTCTGCAAGGCTTTGGGCCACCAAATACCATCCAGAAACTTTGTGTGTCAGGTATTTCCAGGTGGATCCAGAATACACCTGGTGAAGGAAGTTCTGTTAATTACAGCAAACTTCCTCTTACAAATGGGGCAGCTGGGCTGTGGAGGGGGTTCTGTCCCATTTTCCCAGCTTTATTGGAAACAGGGATAAAGGCATTACCAACTACCTATTTATTTCTTTATTACCAATTGTTACCAGTTCAGGTTGCTTTTAAGGTGAAATCTGTCTTGTCTTGCAGCACAGAAAGAGCCTGTAAAGATGCATTTCCTTAGAAAATTTATCAGGATTTTTTACAAAATTAGCCAGCACTGTGGTGGACTTCAACACAAAAAGTGCTTTTTGTTTTCTCTTCAGCAGAAAAGAACAGCATCTTTTCTGTTTAGTGGGCTGCATGTCAGCTCTGCACCTCAGTGCTGCTAAAATGAGTGAGCTCGTGTGCCAGCACAGGTTTTGTGCTCTGGAGCAGTTCGTGGTGCAAGGCAGAGCTGCTGGAGAACATTATCTTTTATTTAGCTTTGTGCAGTGCTTTTATTGGTGTATATTTGGAATTAAATTATTTTATTACTTATTCATGGGACACAGGATTGCTTCTCAGTGCCTGGTGGGGAGGGTTCTGTGAGTTTATTGCTGTTCCTGGCCATGTTGGGCTCAAGTGCCTGAGCGGGGGATGCTGCTGAGTGTTTATGTTTTGGTTTTTGCAGCAGCAGAATTGAAAGCCTCACAAGACAGCGATGGCTTTTTCTCTGGAATTTGAATATGGAGGCCACGGGGACAGATGAAGTAGAAAAGATCAAATCAAAGTTTATGTCTGCATGGCACAACATGAAATACAGTAAGTGGAGCAGAGTGTGGGGAGATCTGTCCTCGTTAAAAGGAATGGAGTGTTTCTTGTTGGCATGAATGCAGTCATAACTAATGAATACTACAAATGCAATATGGCCCTTGTAACAATTTTTTCTCAGCTTAACTTCCTTAGCTTTTAATTTTTCAAATAAGTATTGCATAATTTCATTTAAAATGATTTCTTTTGGAAACAGTAAATATATTTTGAAAATTACTCTAGATTTGCATCGGCTTTTAAACAGGGATAGTATGGAATCATCTGTACAAAGATTTATTTTGTTTATAAATATGATTTTGTGTAAAAAAATAGGATGGTGTGTGAGTTACAAACTCCACTGAAGAATCTACCGTTGAGTAACATTTTTCCACAGCTGAACATCAGTAATTCATTTATCAGCAACCAGATTTTCAAGTGTGCCCTTTACTAATCTGTCCTTAATTTTTCTGCTTTCCCTTTAGGACTGAGGTTGCTCAGTTTTACCACCAGATTTCTGATAAACTTTATTAATCATAGCTGTTTTGAAGATGTCTGACAAGATGAAAAGATGCTTTTTTCCTGCTTTCTTTGAGGCTGTCACATGGTTGAAAGGGAATAGTAGCCACTGTACCTTTTATGGGATTTTTTATGTGACCAAAACCCAATATCAATGCTTTTTTTTTAATTCCCCTTTCAAGGATTACCTTTGGCTTAACCAGATGCTGTTAGCATTTCCTTTTGGAAGGTTCAGTCACAAATTTGTATTTGTTCTGCATCTGTTTTAGGTTGGGTGTTGAAAACAAAAACTTACTTCAGTCGGAACTCTCCAGTTTTTCTGCTGGGAAAATGTTACCACTTCAAAACTGAGGGTGAGTACAGAGCTCTTCACTCATTCCTCAGCAGGAATGAGGTATTTTTAATCTTCTAGAAAGACTGGCATTAACAATTACCATATCCAAAATGTAAATATGAAAAGCTTAGAAAATACTCATTTAAATGTCCTCCTCTAATACAATCCATTCTAACCTGCTTTATTCAGATTTTACACCAAAGCCTTGTACTTTCTGTAAAAAAATTGTGTTGTAATTTGCACTTCATTTACCATCAGCTGGAGATTTTCTCTCTAAAAACTGCTGATGGAAATAGTGGCAAGGCCTGATCAGGGTCACTGCACCAACACCTTTGTTATCACTTTGCAGTGTGCAGTGTTTTAAGTCTCTCTCTTTATTTGACCATTCACAGTTGGGTGAATTAAGCACTTACTTGCAGGTAGTGGTTCCACTGGCACAGTGGTGTCTGCATGGTTCTTTTGATTTTTCCTTTTTTTCTTTTAACCTGGCACATTTCTGTTACGTTTGCCTTCCAATTCTCCTTTGCTGTCCTTGAGGCAATTGTGAATTTTTGTAAATTTAAATTTGATATTTGTTACTAATAACAGGAATGCCACAACAAAGTCATTAGAGCTTAAGCTGTGCTTTGCCTTGCAGACTCTGGGGAGCTCTCTACAGATGGGTCCAATTTTGACAAGATCAGCACTGAGATTTCGGGGAACGTGGAGGAGTTCCGCAAGGATTTCATTTCCAGGATCTGGCTGACCTACAGGGAGGAGTTCCCTCAGATCCAGGGCTCTGCCCTGACCACAGACTGTGGCTGGGGCTGCACGCTCAGGACGGGGCAGATGCTGCTGGCTCAGGGGCTGATGCTTCATTTCCTTGGGAGAGGTGAGTTACAGAAATCTCTGTGTTTGCACAGGCATTCTGTACAGACCAAAATGGCCTTTTTTCATCCCAAATCTGAAGAGCCAGCTGGTTTTGGTTGGGGGCTCCTCACTCCTGTTGGAGTTGTCCCATTGCACAGAGACTGGGCTGTCCTGTCTGTCGCAGACATTTTTCACAGAAATCCTTTCTTTCAGATTTCTGCATTTTCTGGGGAGCAGAGGACCCAGAAGAGAATGTAAACAATGATTATCAGCTGCTGTGGAATGCAATAGGATGCACTTGTGATTAGTTCATGTTCCCATGTTTATAATTAAGGGCCAATCACAGGAGCAAGCTGGGGACAGAGTCCCTGGACACAACTTTGTTAGAGATTCTTTCTATTCTTAGCTTAGCTTAGCAGCCTCTACAACTTCTCTCTTTATTCTTATTAGGATAGTTATAATGTGTTATATATCATATATCAATAAATCCAGCCTTCTGATCAACAAGCAAGATTCTCGTCTTTCTCTCATCCCCAGCGACCCACTCAAGTCGCTGTAATACCTGTCCTTCCTTTTCTGAGAACCAAAGTGTGCCAAAGCAAACTTCTGTGGAGTTCCCAATATCCAGGTGTGAGTTAATACATCACAAAAGTGTGATCCCCCTCTCTGGGTGTTCTTACCCATGCACATGCCCAGAAAATTAAATTTTCTCTGGAAATTTGATTGTTTCTTGAACTCCAGATGTAGGAGTGAGTTCCCCAGCCCATAGCTGTGGGCTATGGCAGAAGTGATGTTCTTTTATCAGTTCTAAAGTTGTCCATTATTGAATTTCTCCTGGTGTTAATATATTGAGTTCCTAGAAGGATTCTAATGTAACCTCAATACATCATTCTCTGTGTGGAAATGTTCACTGTGTCATTCCTTCCCTCCCCCATGTACTTAGAGAGGAACTTCCCTGTTTCCCTTACCACTGTCTGTCTCAAAGTCCTCCCTCAGGCACAGCCAGCTGGACCTTAGGAGCTGTGGGACACTTCCTGCTGTCATGGGCTGTGTCCCTGTCCTCCTCATTGTTCCAGGCTGGCCATGTCCTGCAGAGAGGTATTTTAGGTTGGCAGAGTTAAACACCTTTTCCTTCCATCCCATTGCCAGTCCCTTTATAACAATCACCCATTGCTTGCTTCAGGATGAGCCCAGGCAGGGCCCTGCAGCCCGGGGGGGTGAGAGAACACAGGGCATTGTTTGCTCAGCCATTTGTGGGCTCTCAGGAGCACTCCAGCACGAGATCCTTCTGAAAGCCTGTTTTGATCCCACTTTGCCCTGGCTGGGCAGCTCTGAGGGAAGCTGGGAGCAGGGTCCCAGCCCAGCTGCAGCACAGAGTCTGTTCCAGCAGTGCCAGGATTGAGCTGTGGGACTGGCTCTGTGATTGTGCCTTTGGTGTGGATATTTAACTCTAAAACATTCATTATCTCTTTCAACTGACTGCACATATCAAAAAGTGTGGAAATACTTCTGCTGAGAACACAAATCCCTTAAATATCACTCTTCTTATACATATACATTTAAAAGAAATTCAAGACCTGCCCAGAAGACTCCCTGTGAGCAGGAGTGTGTAATGGCTCATTTGGAAGTAACCCCAAACAAAAACCACTCAGGTTTCTATCTTTAAAATCCATGGTTCCAAAGAATTCCTCGTGTGTCCCCCTTGTATCCTAATTTGGAAGATGATGGGGTGATTCCAGAGTGCTCTTGTTCCTGTGGCAATCCAAATCCACAGAAAGATGGGGTAGGGATGGTCTTTCTGGGCTGCTTTGCTCCTCACTTGGTCTTCTGACAGCTGGTGAATTATCTTTTGAAAAGCTTTTTATGAGATCTGGGCAGCTTTGGAAACATATTTAGATGTTTACAGGAAGTTTTTCATGGCTGTTTACTCTTTTCCCAGAGATGTTTTCCTTCTCGTTTAATGGTGTTGTTTCTGTTGGGAAGCAAAACTTGCCTGAAGTTTCTAGCTGAGATATTTACACTTCCACTGCCATGTGGAATGTTCCAGATATTGCTGAATGTTGTTGGGAATGAGTTTTGTTTTTAAATTTGAAGTTTTACTTTGAAATGCCTGTGCTAGAGACTCTGGCTGGAGTGTGGAGCTGAGAGCCCACAACAGCAGGGCCTGTGAGGGTTTTACACTGAGCTGACTCTGTGTTGGGAGTACTTGCTGGAACTGGGGGACAATTCCAGCATCTTCCTGGGCCTGCTGGACCCCATTCTGTAGGAGGAATGCTGTGTGGGATTCACCATCCATAGGGAAAAGCAGACTGGAGATACTCACTGATATTTAGACAAGTTTCCCTTGTAATCTAAAGGAATTAATGAATTTAGGGAATAAAAAACAATCCTACCTGCCTGTTTCTCTGCTGGTCTCCTTTGCCATTTTGCCAGGAAGAAATGTTTGCTTTTACAAACATTTCAATAATTCCTCAGGTCTGCCTGGTTTTTTAATAACTGAAAAACAAGAAGAATTAAAGATTTTTGAAACTTCTTTTTTGACACCGATAAAAGGATTTTGGGTAGTATTGAAGTAACAGTCATGTATTTAATATGTAAGAGAGTTCTTACCTGTAATCAGGTGTATTTTGTTTGTTCAGCTGGCTGGGATGGTAACCAGAAAAATCAAAGCAAATGCTGCTCTTCGAGATTTCTTTGTTCACCTGTTAACAGCACCATGTAAAACACACATTGTCACTGTAACGAGGGGGACAAAGGGAAGTGCTTTGTTAATTATCCCATAAAACGAGCGTTGCTGTGGCTTTTCCCTTTTCCCGCTGCAGCCTGGGTGTGGCCGGAGGCGCTGGCCATGGACGGCTGTGACTCGGAGTCGTGGCCCAGCAGCACCGTCAGGAGGCTCACGGCCTCCCTGGAGGCGTCGCTCACCCCCGACAGGGACCCCAGGCTGCCGGCCCGGCCCCCTGCCCGCAGGGACTGCGATGGCACCGACAGGAGGAACGAGCTTTATCACAGGAAAATCATCTCCTGGTTCGGGGACTCCCCCCTGGCAGCCTTTGGGCTGCACCAGCTCATCGAGTACGGCAAGAAATCCGGGAAGATGGCGGGGGACTGGTACGGGCCCGCCGTGGTGGCACACATCCTGAGGTAAAGCACCTTCCGTCCTCTGCTCTGACATTTTAAAGGTAAAACACCTTCAGGTCTCTGTCCCTTCCCTTTGGAGATACTGAGGTAAAGCACCTTGAGTTCTCTGTTCTTTTCCTTTGGACATTTTGAGGTAAAACACCTTCACTTCTCTGCTCCTTCCCTTTGCACATTTTGAGGTAAAACACCTTCAGTTCTCTGTTCCTTCCCTTTGCACATTTTGAGGTAAAACACCTTCACTTCTCTGCTCCTTTCCATTTGGCACCTTTTGAGGTAAACACCTTCAGTTCTCTGCTCCTTCCCTTTGCACATCTTGAGGTAAAACACCTTCAGTTCTCTGCTCCTTCCCTTTGGATATTTTTGGGTAAAACTCCTTCAGTTCTCTGCTCCTCCCCTTTGGACATTCTGAGGTAAAGCACCTTCAGTTCTCTGTTCCTTTGGACATTTTGAGGTAAAACTCCTTCAGTTCTCTGTTCCTTCCCTTTGGACATTTTGAGGTAAAACTCCTTCAGTTCTCTGTTCCTTCCCTTTGGACATTTTGAGGTAAAACACCTTCAGTTCTCTGTTCCTTCCCTTTGGCACATCACAGAGGAGCATTTCTGAGTGTCCTGAGATTGCTTCAGCCTAATTGAGCAGCAAACTGTTCATTATTGGCTTTGTAAAACACCCATAGCAGGAGCAATTCCAGAGCTTTTTCATAGGCAGGAAGGGAAATAACAGCAGGTGTAGGAATGAATGCTGAGCTTTTGTCAATCTTATTTCAGGAAAAAACACAACATTCCTGTTTTCTTGTGGAATCCCAAGGATCTCTCCCAAACCCTTTTAGGTAGAGCTGCATTTAGTGAAATGTTCTAAAAACTAACCACTCTTTCAACCTTGGAACATGCATAACATTAGAGGTTTTTTTTTTATACTGTAACCTGGGGGCTGTAATGTACTGATAGTGTAATGAAATGTCACAGCTAAAATTGATGTTTTCAGCATTTCTTTGCACACATCAAATTCTTGTGAAACTGTAAATGTATGGGACTATTAATATTATAATTATATCCCAGTAAAAGTAAAGGGTCTGTGACATTCAGCGTGGTTAAAGAAAAAAAGTTGAAAGTCAAATTTCTCCAGACTGTGAGCCTTGATATTTAATTCTTTGAATGTTTTGGGGTTTTTTTGTAGTCTTATATATTTATTTTTTTAGTAGATTCCAGTTTACTTATAAACCAAATCACTAATAAATCATTTAAAAAGCAGAAGGCAAAGTTCAACCATTTATACATTTATATATATACATATATAAATAGAAGAATTTGATATTTAGTGTTAATGTTATGTTAATCTGAAGTGCAGCTGTACTGAAATAATCAGGTGCGCATCCATGCAGATGCAAATAGGAATGTAGGAATTTAGCATTTTTAATGTGCTATATTGTACTTTTTTCTCATGGTGGAGGCAGTCAGAATTTTTCCCTTGCTTTAATAAATTATCTATTAAATTATTTGTGTCCCTAGTGGGAGCAGGGGGGTTTGGGGCAGAGTTTCACTCACCACAACCCCAGGGGTGATTTCCAGCCCTGCAGAATTTCCTTTCCTGGAGCTTTCTCTCTTGCAGCAGCACTGACAGTGTACAGCTCCCTCATAACTTGGGAATGGCTGCATTAAACCACTCCTCAAAGCAGAGTGGGAATAAAGGGATGGTGACCATTTAATGCAGGTGTGTGCTTCAAATCAAAGCTAAATCCTGAATTCTGAACAGTTCCCTTTCTTTGCAAATGCTGTCCCTGATAGATGACCATGGTTCTGACTATCAACATTTTATTTTAATTTTTGGGTCTGTTACTCTTAGTCTTTTGAGGAGAATCTTAATTTTGTAATTATCTTTTGGAAAGTTTTGGTGAAACTTTATTTCCAGGTGCTAATCTGTGGCTTGCTATATGAACTGAGGTCAAATAAAGAGATATAGTGAATTGAAAATAGCATTTTTGTCAGCAAATTTAACCTTTATCATCAATATACTTGACAGAAAATGGTTATAAACAGAAATAAAGTATATGAAACTTTCCATTGAAATATGAATTTCACTGGAAGTTATTGTGGGATTTGTTTTTGTGGGTTTCATCGTTTCTTTTAAATAGCCAGACATTGTCATCTTGGCTTGGAAAATGTGGTGCCATGACATCCATGGAATATACAGGCTGGATCTTGGTATCCAGTGTTTAAAAACAAATAAAAAAATCCCACCTCATCACCTGTGTTTATCAGGAAGGGAAGGTGTCTTGAATTAAACAAAATAACCCCTGTAAAAACCCAAACAAACAAAAAACTCCTATCACAAACAATTAAAATCAACCTGTTTCTAAAAAACAAAAATAATTTGTTTGTTTATTGTTTATTTTTTGTAATGAATGGTAAGTTAAGTAGTTTTGTGTTTGTACTTAGAAAAGCTGTTGAAGAAGCAAGAGACCCTGAGCTGCAAGGAGTAACAGTCTATGTTGCCCAGGATTGTACAGGTAACTGTGTTTTGTAGATTTTTGCAAACATTTTAAATGCTTTTTATGCTTTTCAGTTAGCACTTAACAATAGAGCTTTAAAGGGAAAAAAAATCCCAGTGAAGTGGATCCACAAAATTGAGATTATGTAGACAAAGGGATTCTTGATATGTGCAGATTGTTCATTGTTGGTTTGGTATTTTATAGTGGAATTCCAAATCAGCAAATCAATTATTGCCTCTTCTCCTTTTACATGGAGATGTTTCTGTTAGTTGGAAGCTTTCAAGTTTTAATTATTCCTTTTAGAAGTTTATATGCAGCAATAAATATTTATTGGCTTTCTCCTCACCTGCCCCTTCTGCATTTCCTTGGCATTGCAACTCAGCAGCAGCAATTCCCATTCCACAAAATATTGCTGGGAATGAGGAGGTTCAGCACTGGTTCTGAGTCACCTGGGTGTTGAGTTTTTGGGGTTTTTTACCTTAGGGTTGGGATTAAATGTGTGAGATGGAATTTTTTGTTTGGATTCAGATGTTTATTAGTTCTTATTTATATTACAGTCTTATAAATTGTGAGTTCTATAGTACTTTAACAATTTAAAAATGGAGTTTTATCTCTCCTTTTATAAGGTGTTTTAAGGATAAACTGTCTAATTAAGAAATGATACTTAAATTATTTTTACTTTTAACTTAATAATTAACTGTGCCTCGTAATGTGGACTTTTTTAAATTAAATTACACAATATTACTTAAACTCATAAAGAAGGTGAAGAAGAAGGACTAGCTACTGTTCTAAAACCTGTATCTTGCTATATATATGTATTATTATATTCTAAAACTTTACATTTTCACCATGTGGTATTACACATTTCTATTCAAACTACATACCTATAATTCCATTTTGGAAGTTTCTCCATGGCTTTAGGTTAAATTCAGTGTTCTCTTGGGGGTCAGTGCGTGGCAGCACAGAAAGTGTGAAATTCTCAGCACCAGGGCTCCAGTGTTTTGGGAGGACAGCCAGGTTTGGAGGGGCTGCAGCTGGAGTTTGTCACACTGAGGTGCCACGTTGGAGGTGTGTCTCTGAAACCTGGAGGCTGTGTTTGAAATGTGAATGTTTCTGTGTGTCTCAGTCTACAGCTCGGATGTTATTGACAGGCAGTGCTCCTTGCTGGATTCTGGGAGAGCAGGCCCCAAAGCTGTGATTGTCCTGGTTCCTGTGAGACTCGGTGGGGAGAGAACAAACACTGACTACCTGGAGTTTGTAAAGGTATGAAATGAGAGTTCAGTCATTTTTCACAGAGTAGCACAAGGGGATATGAAAAGCAACTTCACGAGGGTGATTCTCCCCATTAAACCTGTGGTGGGGATTTTACAGGTGAAGGTTGTAAAGTTTGACTTTACAGATTTGAAATTTCCCTATTACAAGATCAGACATAATTGCAGAGCACATGATGTCCCTTGGTAAAGCTGTGATAACTGTCCTGCTCCTCCAGCAGCACCTGAAAAGACATTAATGCAGTGCCTCAAATTACAAATGGTAATTTAATCTAGCAGGACTCTAATAGCATATGTAACTAAGGATCAGGCAGCATTTTAAAATATAAATACACTCCATTCCTTGCTCTGTTTCTTATTTTCTTAAATAAGAAAATGGTTCAAATGGTTTTAAGTTGCTGCCTGTCTGTTCTTCCCATTTTCTTTTGTCTCTTTGTTCCCCTGGAATTATTTGATATTTTAATTCACTACCTGAATGGTTTTTTCCCCATCTGGATGAGCGTTTCTGAGGATGGTGGTGCAGGAGTAGCAAGCAGTTACCACAATAAAAATGAGCTGGAAAAAGGCAAAGTGAAGGAGAAGGCAGAGGGGGGAGGTTTTGTCACAGAGGTGCTGTGGCTTTGTCAGCAGAGGTTCTGCAGGTACCTGAGGATGTGCTGCGGTCCTGCCTCTTGCTCCTCTTAGGGAAGGCCTTGTTCTCAGCCCTGCTGCTTTTATTTCATTGTCCTTGCTCCTCTTGATCTGTCTGAAAATTTGGGGTTCATTTTTAATTTACCCCGGTGTAGGAGCACAGACAAAGGCTGAGAGTCTGTAACATGATTTATTTGTGGCTCTCTGTTCACTGTAACATTCCAGGAAAACATTTTGATTTTTACTGGCATGGGAAGACAGACTGGTAAAGGCCTTCAAGTTATGAACTTAAATTGTTATTAAATTTTTCCCTGATTATTTCCCTGTGTTTTCAGACAGCTGGTTTGGGACACTTTTAGTTTTCTGCTGGCTGCAGGGAGTGATTCCTGCTGCTCCCTTCCAAGGCTGCTGCAGCCTGATGGAGGCTGAGATAAGAGGGCTCTCAATTGCCTGAATCAGTCACTCCAGTGTCTCCCTGGCTGTTCCAAGAAGTGACCACATTTCTTGGAGTCTGCCTTTAAGTTAAAAATGCAGATTTTAGAATGTAGCACAAGAGGTAATTTCTACAAAGGGTTTTATATTTATGGGTGAAAATGGATAAATTTTTTATAATTCACTTTTACAAGGAGCTTGCCATAGATTAAACAGTTATCCATTACTCTGAGCAGCTTTGCTGCCTCTCTGCTCTGCCCTCCTTGGCTCTGATCTGCCTGAATGTTCTGTGCTGCTCAGAGCATTTGCTAAGGAAACCTTCTCATTTATATTTTAAAGAAGTTTTCTAAGGAAACCTTCTTTTTGGTATTTTAAATAAGCATCACTTCCTTAACCTGTGTAAACCATGCTGGATTTGACTCTGTAGCATCTCAGGGGAGGTTTTAAAGTGACTTTATCCTTGTCTAAGCAGGGAAGATTTTCTCTTGAGAAACCTTGGTGTTAGTAGTCTGCCAATATCAATCTTGTTGTAGAAAGAAAAATTCCCTTCTTACACTGAGAAATGTCCCCTTCCCAAAAGTTCAGCCTTCAGAAGGTTCTGGTTTCTCTGCCCCCCAGGCCACCTGCAGGGATGTTTATGGGGCCTGGCTGTTGAGTGTTTCTCTCTCCTCCCTGGATGTGGGACAGCTGCTTTTGGAGCTGGACCTCATAATTACTCTTAATTTCAGCTGGCATTTCTGCCCAGGATGTAAATTTGATACTGTGGCCAGGCTTGTCCCTTTTAGTGCAAAAAGAAGAGAGTCCCCAGGGGCACAGGATGTAAATGTGTGTGAAAGCTGAAAATCTCAAACATTGGGCTATTTGGACTGAGGAACTGGTGCTCAATATGTGAAATGATATTTTGTCTCCTCCCCAAAAACTTGTGTGGTATCTCATGGGAAGGGAAGTCTTTCTCTGGAATATCTGCTGGTTCCACTTTGGTCAGACCTCAGGAAGTCATGGAGTCAATCTCTAAAAAAAACCAAAACCATTTGCCTAAAAGAGCAAAGAGCAATTATTTTAATTCAGTTTAATATTTGGTTAATCTTAATGATTCCCTGTTCTTGTTTTAGGGAATTTTAAGCCTGGAGTACTGTGTTGGCATCATTGGTGGCAGACCCAAGCAATCCTATTACTTTGCTGGATTCCAAGGTGAGTGTTTGACTGTGTTATGTCTCCTCAGTATTTTTTCTCTCAGAGTTAGGAAGTTAATACAGAAGCAGTGGGAAATAGCATGATTAAAATAGTAAAATGAGCACCTTATTAATTCATCACATCTCCCCAAGTCCAGCCATTTGTCATTTACCCCACGGAGTAATTGGATTCTGTAAAATGTACATTTAATTTCCCTTGTTGCATAAACAAGGCATAATTTATCTGTTTCACCAAACTTGAGGAGCATTTGCTGTTCCTTTCTGGCAGTTCTTATTTAGGTATTTACTCTCTCCTGCTTTAAGTGGTGTTAGTTGATGCCTAAATGACAAGCAATATATTCTTGCTGTCAGGATGAAGCAGGGCGATACATTTTTCATATGCAAACTCCAGAATATAATTGTGTGTTTGTAAAAGTAATTTTAGCACCAAAAATTAAATGACAGTTTCATCACTTTATAAAAATTCTGCTTATACAAGCATATTTGATTATGCAAAAGTTAATCTGTCCTGCAAAAACCTATGCTTCAGTCAATGAGTATCAGCCTGGCAAGCAGTTACTCACTGGCTTTTTTTCCAGCTGTTCTGCATAGAAATTGGATTGTAAGCAGTGTAATAATAAGGTGTTTTTTGAATTACTTGTCTTCTGTTTTGTCCTTGCAGATGACAGTTTGATTTACATGGATCCTCATTACTGCCAATCTTTTGTAGATGTCAGCATAAAGGATTTCCCTCTTGAGGTACTATGGATATAGAGCTGGCACTGTTTGCTTCCCATATGAATCAAACACTAATTATTTAGAGCTGTTCTAGCTAGCTGCAGCTTTATGGTTTTACAGTTACATGTTATTTATCAATGTCCTGCCCTTCTTTATAGGCCTATAATCAACAAAAATGACCAGAGGTTAAATCTCAATATGGAGGTTTAATTTTTACTTCATTAATCTTCATCTGTTTTCTTTTTAATGATCATAAAATCTCCAAAATAGATGATCACTTCATTTAAGTGATTTTCTATCAAAGAAAATAGATGATATTTGTAGATCTTAAGCCTGTTTGGATTTGGAGTTGATAAGTTTGTCTTCTTGGTCATTTTATTTTTTTTTTAATTCAAATTGCAAGCAACATCAGGGAGGATTCCTGTGGTATTCAATAGTAGGAGCCTGGAAATAGATGGAGCTAAAGGAGGTGATTAGAGAACTCAATTTACAGCTGCCCTGGGAAAACACTGTCAGCTGCAAGGAAGAGCTCAGTGGCCTCAGGGCCTTCCACACAAACTCTCCTTGGTCCTGTGCCCAACTTCAGGTGAACTCCAGCAGCTCCTGGCTCAGCCTCAGGGGGCATCCACAGCCAGGGCAGCAGAGCTGGAGCAAAGTCCCATCAAATGCTGCTCAGGAGAACTATTCATATATAAATAAAAAATCCCAAAGGGCCTGCACAGGGCTGGTGTCAAGGCCTTACAGCAAACACTTCATGTTTGTCATTATTTATGCTTCACAAAATGCCCGAGTTAGCATGTTACATAGCACAGAAGTGGAGGATTCTGTAGGAAATGAGAAGGTTCTGGGTGAAGCAGAAGAACCCAGCAGCAGAATGGGTCAGCAGATACCCAGGCAGGAGGTTTGGCTGTGTTTGGAGATTCCTTCAGGTTTGTCCTGTTGACGTGTCTGGAGCAGGAGCTGGTGAGTGCCATCTCTGCCTGGGGTGATCACCCAGCTCCTTCCCTTTATCCTCACAACTGTTTTGCTCCAGTGCCCCTGAAGATTTTACACTTTGGGGAAAAGCAGACAAAAGGTGGGAAGAGCCCAGAGCAGCAGAGCTGAGGTGAATTCCTTAAGGTCCTGCTGTGGCCAAGCTACCAAAACACATCTTTTGGGTTCTGTTCCTATGACTCAGCCTCAGAATTGTGCTGCAGACTGGCATTAATCTGAATTTCTAAATAAAACCAAGGTTTGAAGCTGTGTTTGGAAGGTATGCAAGCTGCCAGCTTGGCTTGATCTCATCCTAATGCTTTCCTGCAGACGGAAAATAGATTGCAATTTAATGCTTGCTGCATTTAATAGTATTATATCTTTGTCCAGAAATGTCAAAAGTAAACAGAAATTGCTTTCTTAGGGTGGATAGTTGCTTGTTAGATTTATCTGTAGGGAGTATTTTCAAAATTGACAAATTGTCCAGAATAAGTTGGAAATCAATCCACTCTGTATTGGCTTCCAGCATCCATTTGTTTGGAGGAATGGGAAAAAAAAATCCTCCCCACTTCTCTTTGTTGTGCAGTGATTTGTGCAGCATTAAACCTCCTGCACAACTGTAGGGACAGGGTTGCTGCTATGGCATGTGGAAGGCAGGGTTTAATTTTTATTTTTTGTTTTATGCATTTGAAGATTCAGGAATTAATATTAAAAATACAATTGCTGTTTATAAAATTGGAGCGGTGAGGAGAAAAAGCAGTGACTAAAATCAATCTTGCAGAAATAACCCCAAATCATCTTGGTGGATGTTTTTGAGCAGAGGTTTTACAGAAATACCTCTTGGGTTTGTAACCACCAGGAAAGAACAATATATTTTATTATGTAAAACTGCTGCAGGGATGATTACACTCGGATTTGGGAACCAGGGCTGTCTTCTGTGGATTGATTTTTGTGATTAGCAAAAAAAGGGATTTAATAGAGGGAGGATGATGGGTCATCCTCTGTGTTGGAGGCAGAGTGGAGGGGACTGGCTCCCTCTGAGAGCAAGTGAAGAAATAATTGCAGTTACTGGACAAAGAGCTTCGCCACAACTGCAGCTCCTGTAATAAATAACCACAGAATCAGGATAGATGGAATATATATTTTTTTTCTTTCATAAACTGAGTGAGGAGTGTGGGGAAGGGGGTTTTGTGTTTGTTTTGTCTTACAGCAGGGCTGCTGAAAGTATCAGCTCACAGCACTGGCGGGGCAGCATCTGTCAGGGAAAGAGATTTCACGTGAGGAAAAACCCATTTGTAAAGCAGGGCATGTTTGCTTTTTCCCTACTTGTGGATCATTGTAATATGGTTTTGCTTTTGTGTGTTTTGTGGGTTTTTGAACCCATTTCATTTACTGAAGGAAAATGCATGAGGTTGGTTTATTCCATTATGTCTCTTTTATGGAGGCTGGGGGAGGGAAGGGGCACTGGGCAGTGGTAGTAAAGCAGTAAGATAGTGCAAAAGCTGTTACAAATTCAATTTGCTGAAGAGCATTCACCTTCTCTGCCTTGGGAATATTCATAAAGTATTGCTGGGAGCAGCAGAGCTGTGACAGATTCCAAACTAAGCTGGTGTTCGTGTGGGGAAGTTTGGGGAATGCAGCCTGAGCAGCAGGAGGTTTGACACGGCTGGGGAAGGGTGGAATCATTTAAATGTTTGGCGAGGATGGGAGAAATCACTTCCAAAGGGTGTGCTGGGTTTAATTCAGGTGCTGCAGGGCATTGGATGTATTAAGCTGTTGGGGGGGACAGAAGTAAACACATGGATCTGTGCCATTCCTGACTGTCACCGTGTTTTGTGTTTTTTCACTGGGAAACCTGCAGTCATTCCACTGTCCTTCTCCCAAAAAGATGTCCTTCAAAAAAATGGACCCGAGCTGCACCATAGGATTTTACTGTAGGACTGTGCAGGACTTTGAGAAGGCGTCTGAAGAAATCACCAAGGTAGGTGCTGGAGTTGCCAAACCATCCCTCGGCCAGAGCGGGCTGTGGGGCCGGGAGGAGGATCGGCCTCGCCCTCCTGAGCAGAGCCAGTTCCCCTCATGGCGTTCATCGCCGCTTTCCCGCGCTCGGTGACGCCGCCGGGTGTCGGTGTCGGTCCCGATCCCGATCCCGATCCCGGCCGGATTTCCCGAGCGGGGCCGGGCCGAGCCCGCCCGGGCAGCGGGAGCGGGGCCGGCGCCGGGCGGGCCCGCGAGGTGGCACTCGTGAAGTGGCGATGTCCCCGCAGCCCTGCGAGCGGCGAGCCCGGCCCGGGAGGCTCAGGGGGTGCTGGGGGGCAGCCCGGGCCTGGGCGGGGATGGAGCGATGGGAATGTTGGAGCAAACCCGAATTGTTCGTTATTTCTCCCCAACACAAGGGGCTTTTCCTGGTGGGAGCTGCAGGGCTCTGGTGTGAGCTGCACAGAGCAGGTGCCACCCAGCAAATCTGTCTGAGCCATCCTTCCCCTGCAAAAACTGCTCTGGATTCATTTAGGTCCCATTGGAATCACGTTTTTTTCTCCTTAGTTATTGCAGTATGAAATGCAGCATCATCAGTGTGTTCTGTGAGCTGCTCTGTGTTTGGTGGCTTCAGAAAACGCTCTGTGGAAAGGATGCAGCAGCAGATGGGCTCAGTGTTAATATTCCAACCACAGCAGCACAAGGAATTCATGTTTGTGCAGCACTTGGAATGTCCTGAGAAGTGGTATTAGTACTATTAATAGTAGTATTAGTACTACAGCCAAAAAAGCATTTTTTAAACTTAATGCTGATTATAATAAATAGATACTGATTGATGCTGAAGTTGTTTCTTTGATTCTTACCCAGAGAGGTAGAAAACAGATTTAAAGAAGTAGAAGTGCCTAAGCAGCAGATCCATGGAAAGTTTAAATAGTGAAGTTTCTGTTCTTCCTTGTTTTCCTGTTCTGTCACATAGAATGTCATAACATGGTTAAAAAAAAATCTCATTACAAAATCAGTTCCAGCAGAAGTTATCTTTTTCCTATTTCTGTTCTTTCAATTTTGGGATTAAGTAGAGTTTTTTCCTGAACACTATTTGTGAAAACACTCTTGACTGACCCAAGTGTTGGAGTTATTATCCTGGTATTTTAGATAGAAGCTCTTTAATATTAATGACATTATTTTATAGGAATACATTTCAGGCAGTGTCAGTTTGAAAAGAGGGGAAAGTTTGGATACAGGGACAATGTCAGAAACATTCTATCAATTGATCTTGCAATCCTTCCTTCACATCTGTTGTGGTTTCCATTATTTTTCCCTTTCTTTGCAATTGTAGTGTGGTAACTCTTAACCATAAAGCTCAGTGCATTCCTAGTGTGCCCTGTGGAGGCTGAACTAAATAAATCCATGTTCTGCCTGCTTTTTTTGGTAATATAAGAGGTGAGAGATAAGATTTTGCTTTTATACTTGAGGATAAACATCATGGCTTTATATGTTTAAAGACAGATAAATTAGGAAAGTTGCACATTGTTCAGAGTTTCAGATTCTCTGTGGTCACTGTTGAGATGTGATGAGAGTCACACAAACCTTGACCAGGTTCCCCTGGACTTGGTTTAGGCATTTCCTTGCCCTGTTCCTGTGTTTAGGGTTTCCTCACCTCCCTCAGTGTGGAAATGGAAGTTTCAGTAGAGCTGAACACAGACAAGGCAGTGGAACCCCAGGATTTTACTGGGATTGATTTATTTTTTCTTATTTTTTAAATGCTCCCTCAACCCCTGTCATATTTTAAATAGTTCTTACTGTTTGGAGCTCTCTTTGAGGATTTTTTCCTGTTTTAGACTGATTGTTCTCCTGAAATGGTGCTCAGTGATTTTTAGTTCTGCACAGTGTGTATCTCTAGTCTGATGTGGTTCTGCAGCCACTGCAACACTGGGCTGGTTTTTCCCAAGCAGGTAGGAAAAAGTAAAACAAATTAAAAAATAAATCAGTGGGCAAAACACCCTGAAAGGCTGAAATGTTTTTCAGTGTTTAGTGGGGTTTTATCTGCTCTTGAAGATGTTTTGCTGATCTGTTTCAGTATTTATCATCCCTCACACCCCCTTTCTCCATGCTCAGTTTTCCTATTTATAAACACAGATTCTGGGCCCCCTGGTTCCCTGTGACTGTCACCAATTTGGTTTGAGCCACGTGCTCTGCCTGCCTTATTTACATTGCTGAATGTGTTTGAACTTCTAATAAAAACACTGAATATTGCACCTGCTGATTCTACAATAAAAATCCCCCCCCAGGATCCTCAGTTGCTGCAGAATTCACACCTGGCTTGAGGAGACCCTTATGGCCATTAACTATTTTGTAGAGGGTTTTATCTTCTGTCTTTTATCCTTTTATCTTTCTCTTTGTTGCACTGGGTCCGACAGCACATACAGGTGATCTGTGTGCTCAAAACCAGGGGTAGGCAGGAAATTAGCAGCTGCCTGAGAAAGGGAAGTAAATATGTCATAGGAGGAGGAAATGTTTAGATTGTGCAGTGCTTTTGTCTAATGAGATAATTAAAATAAATGCATTTTTTACTTGGCAGTCATCATCAGGTGAATATCTGTGCTTGCTGAGTTTCTTCATTTCCAATTAATGTTTTATCTGGTTTGTTTTACATTATAGATGCTGAAATCTTCATCCAAGGAGAAATATCCCCTGTTTACTTTTGTCAAAGGTCATTCTAGAGACTATGACTTTGCTTCCAGTCCACTCAATGAAGAAAATGACCTTTTCTCTGAGGATGAGAAGAAAAGGCTGAAGAGATTTAGCACAGAGGAGTTTGTCTTGCTTTAAGGACATTTTACACAAGAGCGTCGGCAGCTGTCCAGGAGAACACTTGCCTTTTAACTATAAAATGTACCTGGATTCCTTCCCCAGAAAGGCAAGCCTGTACTGAAATTGGTCTATTTTCATAAAGATGATAATGTTTTATATGTTAAAAGTCTTTAAGATGTCGGTTACTAATGTATGTACTAATTATTTTGCTCACTGCTGGCTGGAGGAGTGTCTGCAGTTGTGGTAGTGAAGGAGATGCTCTGCTCAGAGCCAGCTGTGCCTGGCCTGTCCCCAAATGCCAGCTGTGCCCTCCTGTGCCATTCCAGGCGCTGCTGGGGCTGCCTTGCCAGGGATGCTCATCCAGGGCTGTGCAGAGCGCGGTGTTCCTGCCTGCAGGAGTTGTCCCTGTGGGAAGGGGACACTGCCAGCTGTGCTGCCAGCCTGGCACCGTGCAGGGCAGCTCCTGCTGCAGAGGTGAGGCTGGTGGATCAGGAGTCAGTGGCACTGGCAGCCCTGCCATAATTACACAGGCTGAATTGGGAGTTAAGATACTATTTAGCACTATGACTTTCTAATGGTTTCTCATTAAGCTTGCTTTGGAGCCTTAATATGAGGAGTGAAGATAAAGTATTACCTTTCCCCACAATTTTTAAAGGTTATACTATTAATATTAACTGCAACCAATCAAAGCAGCTGGAGACAATTATTAGAAGAGAGCAGTGTTTGTTTCCTGTTTCAGCTACCATAATGGTGAGGCTTCTCCTGCCAGAGCAGCTTTTAAATCAAAGCAGAGGGGGGTGGATGTGGAAAATTCTGGGCTGTGATGATTTTTTGTTTTGATATGTGTTGTTACTGTACAAATGATTACTTGGTGGTGTTTGTTCTCAGATTGCAAACAAATGTACAGAAATGGTTTCATGTTTTAACAAAGTAAATACAATATTTAAAAAACCCTATTAACGCTGCTTGGGAAATAAAAGAGGTATGAAAACATGAAGTGCATGTGCCTTTTATATTAATATTAGATCCTCTAACAGTGAATATAATCCTGCATCTAAACCAATATTGTAAGGGGTGAATACTCTGTTTATTTGCAATAAAGGTAGATTTTATTGTTGTGTTGTAAACCAAATGTTACCTGGTCTAAGTGCTGCTCAGGCACAGAGGCACAAGTGTTGCTGATCCAAATAATAAGCATCATGTTTGTTCATTAAAGCACCTTTTACTTTTATGAGCAAGAAGTGACTAATGGATGAATTTCAGGCAGAACTAGACCAGTCTGTGTCAGGGCTGGAGAGTGCATTTGCATGTGCTAATTAATATTCAAAAAAGATAAAATATTCCTTTGTTTTCAAGGGAAAAAAACCCAGACGTTATTTGTCTAAATCAGTAACCTCTGCACTGCTAATATTTGGCATAATGTGACTTTTTACTAACAGGTATGTGAGCATGTTTGGCTTGATCTTCATATTTTTCATTAATAGCCCAGAAGAGGGAGTAAACAACATATTTATGGAATTTAGATGTCAAAATGAGGAGAGCTGTGGATGTCAGAGCTAGAAGAGAGAAGATTGCTGGTGAGCGGAGCACAAGGAGATGCAGCTTTAGCAAAGATCAGGCAAAGCCTCAGGGTGGTGCCTTTGGGTGGCAGTGGACAGGAAATCAGACACCAAGTTGTGATGGATTTTCCTTCTTCCACAACTCCACCACCTGAATTCAGGTACCTTCAGAAAATCCCATGTGCACAGACACACCTAAGCCTGTTGTGTCTGCAGGAAGGAGCTGCTCTTCCAAAGGCCTTTGGTGCAGAATTCTTGCAATGGAAATGCTCACAAGGAATTACAAGAGCTGTGGCACAGAAATGTTAAAAAGGAAAATGTGGGTCTGTCATTCCAGCAGCAAATGTCCCTAGAAGGATGGAACCCTTTCTCTTCTCTCAGTCTTTTTCTAACTGGATAAAAAATGGAGTGGCTGAAACATCTCTGAACTTATTAAATAGTGAAAGTTTTTCCCATTCTAACTGAGGGAAAGAAAAGTAGCAGTGCTAGAAGAGCACCTGGCTTGGGGTCCTTTAATTTGTAGCAAATCTTTTAGTTCACCACAGTAGGGTTTTCTTGAAAGCCTGCTACAAATAATTGTTAAAAATTCATGGCTGTTTTCATCATGATTTTTGTCCAAGGCTGAAGCACAGACAAGCCCACAGAATGCCCTGGTGCACTTGTGTACAGGGGTGACACAAGTTAAATTACCAGGTTAGTAGAAATTAATGGTTTTGGGTAACTACAGGGGACTTTAATTGGAAACCATGTTAATCGTGTAGTAATTCTCTTTACCTCATCTGCATTAGCTGCTGCAAACCAGGCAATTAATTTGTGTCATCAGTGTTGCTGCTGCTGCCTTCAAACACAAACCTGAGGAGCATCAGTTACTCCCAGAGCCAGCGTGGCCCAGGCTCTGAGGCTTCCCCAGATCTCCTGTGCATCCTCCTGTGCCTGACAGCCCAGACAGGAGCCCTGCAGCCTCAGGGCTTTGTGCCCTCACAGCCTTTTCTCTCCCTCCCTTCTGCCATTTCCTTTCTCCTCACGAGGAGCCTTCCTCTCTGTGTTTATAATATCTGACATTAGCTTGGCTCAGGCTCTCAGTGGAGACTCTGCCTTCTCTTTCCAGCCCTGTTTTCCAAACCTTGGCAGTGACCAAAGCCCATCACACCCCAGAGCTCTGCTGAAGGTGCTGGTGCTGCCCTGGGAGCTCAGGAAATTTCTCTCCTCCATGAGAAACCCCCCAGCCACCAGCTCCCTTTCCTCTGCAGCCTCTCCCATCTCCAGCCAGCCTTTAAAAACACCCCCCAGGCACTCAGGAAAGGCAGCAGCTGATTTCTGAGAAGCTTCCAGAAGCCCAGGGCACTGCTCTGACCCCATGGGCACAAGCCCTCAGGGGTGGCTCGTGGGAAGGGTCAGGCTGGAAGGGTTTGCCCCATGTTTACTCCTGAAATGGGAGTTTCTAGAGTGGTTCTCTAGGAAAGGGAATTATTTACTGATGGTGGTAGAGAGAGGTGATCTCAGAAGGAAAGAGAGCCTGGAGAATTGCAGCCCAGCTTCCAGAAGGCCTGGAAATGGAATATGCTCAAACCAGCACTGAGTTTCTTCCATAGAATGCCAGAATCCCATTCTGGTCTGGGCTGGGAGGGACCTTAAAGCCCATCCAGTGCCACCCCTGCCATGGGCAGGGACCCTTCCACTGTCCCAGGCTGCTCCAAGCCCCATCCAGGGCCTTTGTGATGCCTCTTTAAAGATTCCTTTTCCCTCTCACCAGTCCCCCACGCTTCAGCAGAGCTGCAAAACTGGGGCCAATGTGATTTGTTACTGGTTTTTGTGCTTTTTTTTCTTTTTTGGCTTTTCCACCCCTCCAAACCCAGAAGCTTTGTCAGTGTGAGGCAGGTGAGCAGTTCAGTTGTGCCCAGTGGAGGCAGGGCAGGGATCTCCTGTTCCCTGCTAATTCCAGCAGGAAAATGGACTTGCCCCAGAGACCTGATTTATTTCCACCCTTATTGACAATCTCTTAAAGGGGATGATGGAGTGAAAAGCAGCCATCAGTGAGTTATGAAAGGTCAATAATGCCACAAAGGAACACAAACAGCAGGTCTGAAATCCAGCCCTCCCCACCTGCTGTTTCCACAACCATTTCTTCCAAGGTCATCGGGCTTTTCCAGGGAGGCCAGAGCAGCAGGAGCCTCCAAGAGGAGGCCAGGTTACTTCATGGCCCTTTCCCACCTTGGAGCTGATTATTATGGGGTGCATTCCCCCAGCCCTGCATGGGAGGCCGTGCAGCACAGGCAGGAACAGCATCCAGCACCATTTCAGCTCCTTACCCAAAACCCAGAGCCTCTGGCAGAATATTCCAGCAGCACAGGGACAGCCTCTCACCAGCTTGGTTAGGCCGTGCCAGCATCACATAAAAGGATTTTTAAATGCTGCTCACTTGTTTGCATTGACAAAAAGGTGCAAAGAGGAATTTGAGGGTGTCAGGATCCAGCCCTGGGCACTCATGGTTTGACCCTGAGTTTGGTGTCGGCACAAGATGCCTCTGCTGCCTAATTGGATGAGCTGAGCTCCATAAACACTTCCCTTCCCTGTTTGTAAGCAGTCCACGGGCAGCTGTAATTGTCTGAATCCACAGTGTGAATAGTAAAAAGAGCTTTACTTAATGACTGCAGCAGCCCTGCTCGAGTGAGAGCTCTCTGGTATTTATTCACACCAGAATTCACGAGGCTTTTGTTTGCCGTGAACACTCCTGCAAATAAAAACTTGCTCACTCTAATGTTTATGAATAAATGTGCTCGTAAATGCCATCAAAGCAAATCAGCAGGGTTTTATTTATGCAAGGAGATGCACAAATAAATGTTTGCTGTTTTCACCCAGCTCTGGTGGGTGTTTAGGCGAGTGTAAAGCCAAGGCTTTGTGAGCTCTGCTCAGCACTCAGACATTATTCCTGCTCTCCACCTCCTCCTTCCCTACACTCTGATCCTGCCTGTGAATCCCTGTGCCCCAAGGGAAGGTTGTTAAAGTCAATGTTTTAGGCATTATCCACATCCAGCAGCTTGCTGGGTCAGTGGACAAGGTCATGGAAGGGACTGGGATCCCTTTGGCTGCCCAGGACTGGGAGGACAGGAGGGAAAGGGGTTTGTGATCACAGCTTTGTGATGTTTGCATGGCACACAGCAGATACCCAAACCTGCTTTTTTTGGCATGTGCTGGCTCCTGGAGCAAGGTGGGGGTTCTGTCTTACACAGAAGTGTGGGAGGTTATTGCCATCCTGTCTCAATCAGTGCCCTAATTAAATCTAGGAGAGGATTTTCTTTCTAAAATGTAAATGTCAAGCCTTGTTAAGGAAAATTAAAATGCACTGAAATGAATGTGGTAGGAGCTGTGGAGGTGCTTAAGTAGAGTATCTGTATTTATTAGAAAGGGAACTAAAAAGGAAGTATTTTTGGAGCACAATCCTTAAACTGGGCCATAAGGATTTTATGCAAATTTCCCTTCCAAATCTGCAGTTAGGGACTGGTTCCAGGGGTGAATTCTATGTCCCAGCCTCTAAAAGCTATGAAGGAATATCATCTGAGACTCACCTCTTTCCAGGATGTATCTGTGCATATACCAGGATCACTTGGGATTCTGTGCTGGCCACATTTCCTGAAGTTGGAGTTGAAAATTCAGGTAATTCCTTCCATTCCCTGCTCCCCTGAGTCCAGCAGAGCACAACAGCCCAGAATTTAAACCTTCATTCAGCAATGGGATCACCCCCATTCACAAAGAACCCTCTTTAAAGCATTTTTCTACTCCAGCCCACAGTGAGCCTGGAGCGGGAGCATCAGTCAGAACCTGCAACACTCA